TAATAGACGTTGTGAGACCAAATAATGTTAACTTAAGAATTAAATAAATATTAATGTTGATTGTATATAACTTAATTTAAAACTTAATATAAATGGTAATATATTTAGAAATCAATTACTATTTTATGTGGTAATTGATTTTCTTAAAATTTAAAACTTAATTGAAATGATAATATATTTAGAAAATCAATTACAATCAAATTAAATTACACTGTGTTGTTCTACTATGCATCAAGCTAAAATATGTAAAGTTTTAAACTGTATAAATAATAAGTTGGGCCTCTCAAGCCTCATCTCTTACTCCTATAAAACCAAATGTCAGAATGGGCTGAGGAGAAAGTTTTTTCTGCAACCAACATTTGCATACTTAAAAGCATTTCACATAAGCCAATGTATGAGGACTTTCTCCTTTTTCTCTGTGAAGTTGCATGATGTATAAGGGGATATATATAAATATGTGTCTTTTTAAAGTGTTTTGGGTTGTTGTGTGATTTATCTTTTATTTTGAATTTTAAATGTAATAATTTATTATCGAATAACATGAGATCAATTATTACACATTTAAGATATTATTTATTTTGAACACTGAAACTTAATACAAATTTTGTTTTTAAAAAACGTATAAAAAATAAGAAAAAATATTTAAATTATCTTAAATCTTAATTCTAAAGTGATATGTAACTATTAAATATGATAGAAATACAAAATAACATTTAACTGTAATAACCTAGAAAAGAAAATACAGTATTAGAGTAGATATGTATATTAAAATAATGAGACCGAGTATTTTATTATAAAATAATCTTATAAAATAAATAGAACTTTCTAAAGCTCGGTTCATTATTTAAAATACTTCTATCTCTCTAAACATTATTCTCTTCCCTTTTCTCTTACATTCCTTTAACTTTTCTCACACTTGGATCATCTATTCAACGATGAAGAGGTGTCTAGGTGATCCTGGCGTAGAGAGCTTTCTTTTCAACCGATCAATTTCTTGATTTGAGCTGGTAAGTTTCGTTCCTCTTTTCTAGGTTTTACCTAAAATATGTGATTAAGCGGATTTTCTATCTTTGCATAAGAATTGTGCCTCTCTTTCTTGACTCTTAGCTCAATTTAGGTTCTAAGGTTGGTTTCCTATCATCAATCGGTGATTTGTAGGTTTTTCTAGAATTTTCTTGCGGTACAAGCTTTGGTCAGGATATTTCTTTAGCTGTACAAATCGGATGGAGGTAAGGAAAGCTAGATAATTTCTTTTAAATGTATGTATGTTGTGTAATTTGATGATATGTAGAGCCTAAATTGTTTGGATGTGAATGTTAATTGGTGTTTGTGATAATTTAGGTATTTTGATGAAATTGATAGATTTTATGATGATGAGTAGTTGGGATGATGATGAATATGTTTGTACGTGTTTATGAGTTGTTGTATTTAACTATTGAAGTATTTTGATGTTGAGTGAATTTGTTAAAAGAAAGGATAACTTGATGGTAGAGTATTTTGGTCTAGGAATGAGTTCTTGAGGAAGGAAATAGTAAGAAATGGTTGGTGAATTGTTTCTGTGCAGTTGAGATTGAGTATGAGTTAAGTTATGTCTTGTTCTAACATCTAAAATGGTAGAAATCTGAGTTGTGAGTGTATGGTGGTGATAAGGTAGAGTTCTACTAGGTTGGAACTCAATTTGGAGGAAGTGAACTAGTGAAAACTTGAGTTTGGTGATTTGTGTGCAAATGATTAGTTTGAAGAGTTATAGTAAGTTATTTGGGACTTGTTAGAGTCCCTAAGTTTCTTGGAATTGTGCAACAAATGGTAGAATTCAATTTGAATCTCTAAGTTGAATTTCTGTAAGTTTTTAGGTGAGATTTTGAATCTACTTGTTTAGATTGAGGTTATAAGTGTTTAAACAACATTGGTTAAGTATATTTAGGTATATAACACAATTTATGGGGGTTAGAAGTTGGGAAAAAATTTGGAATTAGTAAACCTGGTGTAGGTTGCTTAATTCTGCAAATTATGTAGACTCACTAAGCGAGTGGTGTCGCTCAGTGAGTGGTGGTGGAGGCTGGCTCTCTGTTTGGTGATTCGCACAGTGAGAAGGTGCGCTGAGCGACTGGTTGAGGTCTGGGAGCACTGTGAGTTTATTCGACCAGCGAATGGGGTCGCTCAGCGAGTGACTGGGAGGTCTGGACCACTGTTTGGACTTTTCGCATAGCGAGTTGGGTCGTTGAGCGAGAGTTTGGGATTTGTCACCACTAGAAGTTTTATTCGCTCAGCGGGTTGGGTTGCTGAGCAAGTGGGTTGGAGTCTGGAGCCATTGTCTGTAGATTTACACAGGAGTTGGGTCGCTGTGCGAGAACACTCTGTAGTCACTTAGCGAGGGTATGCGCTAAGCGACTGGTCTAGGTCTTTGAGTCCTCTTTCTTTTCTTGTTCTTGATTGGTTTGAAATATAAATTGAATTCATTGTGAATGATGTATGATTATGTATGAGTTGTATGAGCAACAAAGTCATGAGTTAAGTTTCAAAGTGGTGAAAGTAAGTTCCAAAGTGAATCCTCTTGGTGAGATTCAAATATGTTTAGAATGAATGCAGAAAGCTCAGTCTTGGGGGTTATCTTGAAACTCCAATGGTCTTTCATTCTCACGTAGGAAGGATTGATCCATGTCGTAAGGAGTAGCAGGAGGTCTTAGTCTTGGAGGCTTCTAGTATGCTCCAAGACCCGAAACATACTAACCTCGTGAGTATGGTAAGGTGAAACTCATTGGCAATGACTTTGCAAAACAGTAGAAGCCACCACGAGTGCATAAACCGCCATAACTTGACAATCATTTTAAGTCCGGACGGTCAAAGTCAGTGTAGTGTCATGCACAAAGTGTTTTTTGATGAAATGTCTATGTATGATGGTATGATATGTGGTTGATAAATAGTATGTTTGTTCTTTTATTTAAGGCTTAATACCTCTTTTGGTCCCTCGAAAGAGGGGTTGTGTTCAAAATGGTCCTACCTTTTTAAAAAAGTAATAAACGATCCTAACTTCTAAAAAAACGAGTCAAGTTATTCCTTTTTTCTTATGGCGTCAAAAATGTAACGGTGCAGCTGCCTCCTTGGCCAAAACTTAATGAGTTGTCATCTTTTTCTCATACGTGACACATTGAGGTAATATAACGTGTCAATTTTAAATTTTAAAAAAACAAATTGCTTGCCACATAAGCTTCATTTTCCACCTCCAAAAACGTTAGAGCCACAAATCGCCGCCGTCAACACCTCAGACCACCGCTAAGGCTACCGACTTCTTCTTAACAACCAGATCACATTTTCCTCCTCCATGTGCCACTGCAACGAAACCAAAAAACCACCATCATCTTCTCGGCCAGACTTTCGAAAAAACTCAAAAACAAAAAGGCGAGCTCCTCCACCAATCTCTTCCTTCGAAACCTGCAAGAAACTGGAAAGACCTAAAGAAACTCAAATCAAGCCTCGTTCATAGCCACCGAGAACTTGCGAAAACCAAATTCCAGATGAACATTAATCGTAGGACAGAAAACCCCAAATTAGGAACCCTAATTGCGAGTTCATCGCGAATAAAAAACTGTCCAACTCTCACGAAAATCACCCAACCGAGGTCGGCGGCCACGACAAGTTCCCATCGGGCGCCTTGGCGCCGAGCATCTCTGCCACTCTCTGGTCGAACTCCCCGCTGTTTCGCAGCGAGTTCATCGCCACCAACCCTCCGATCATCTTCTCGTTGAAGAAAATCTGCAGCACAAAACCAATCCCCGTCCTCTTGCGCAACTCCCTCTCCCTCTCGCTGAACACGTCATTTAACCTCACATTGCCACACAATGACATAAATTGGACACGTCATTATGATTTGTCCAGGGAGGCTTAATAATGTTTTTCACAACTTGGGATCGTTTGTTACTTTTTAAAAAAGGTAGGACCATTTTGAATGCAACCCCTCTTTCGAGGGACCAAAAGAGGTATTAAGCCTTTATTTAAACTAGCTTACCATGTTGTTTGTGTTTGTGTTTTGTATGTGTTGGTGTTCTTTCCTTTGCAATGATCATCGTGTGGATGTGAGTAGAGAGAGATGAGGTGTTCCTGGAACAGACGTTGGATGGTGATGATGCGACAACATAGTTTAGTTAGACTAGTATTGTATATAGTTTTGTATTAGACATGTTGTATATAAAATTTAAATTTTATAATTATTTTGGATGAGTATAATTTTATACTTTATACTTTAATTGGATAATTGTATTATCTTATCATATTTCTTATAACTTTTTATATAGTATTATACTATATTATTGGATGTTACATAAATCCTATATGCATTTAACCAATTATTTTGAAAATAATTAATTAAATGCAACAATAGGAGTAATGAATTTTATCTTGGTTAGAATAGTCAATTGTTAAGATTATTTATGTATGTTTAAATTAACTACGGACTTCTTTAATTGATTTTTTCTAATAAATTATGATTGAATGATTATTTTTTTCTCTATATGCTTAATGTGTTTTAATGATAAACTAAATGATAGTAACGTGTGCAATATTAAGAATGAATTCTCAATATTTTGAATGGTTCTTATCAATCTAGATTTTCTTCTTCTTTTATTTGTTTTAGTTAAATTTAAGATTTAAAATTTTGTATATAATTAATCATTTTATTTTAACATTTGATTTACACGTTGTAAATTGATATTAGTTAAATTCATTTTGGTATTCCATTTATGCTTTAGTATAACGAATGAAGTTTGGTTCGAAAAAACATTTATTTAAATAGTAAGTGTGAGTTCTAATTTTAAGTATCATAAAAGTTATATATAGTAAAAAATTAAAATAAGTATTTTTTTAAGGTTTAAAAAAAGTGGTGTCATTCTTTAGTAAAAAATAAATAGTATTTGATGTGAAAAAGTAAATTAAGTCCTTTTATAAGTTTTTTAAAAAATGGTGTCATTTCTGTGATTAAAAAAAATAAATAAATAGTGTCGTTTCAATTTCTGTGATGCTTGTTGGTGAAGTAAATAGTAGTGGTTTTTTATTCAGAAAGAGATACTCGGAGAAACAAACTGCATTGCACGCACCTCTTTCTTTCTGACCCGCAACACTTGGGCTAACGTTTCTTCTTCAATTTGTTTTTTCCATTTGGATTTCATTACTTAGGTAATTTACAAATGAGAAATTCCTCGATACATTTTTTTTTATTCATCATGAACTGAAATCAATTGATATTCTTATTCTGTCGGAGATGAAGGGTTTTTTGATGCGTGTGATTGATTCAGTTAAATGCGATGGATTTGAGTTCGGGGCCTCAAGAATTTGATTATTTGTTCAAGTTGTTGATGATCGGAGACTCTGGGGTTGGCAAGAGTAGTCTTCTTCTCAGTTTCACCACTGAGGCTTTTGAAGATCTTTCACCCACAATTGGTCCTTTTATTTCTCCTTTGACTTGTATATTACAATAGCCATTTATTTGCACCTTTGCATCTTATTTAAATTGATGCTGCCTCCTGCAGGTGTTGATTTTAAGGTCAAATATGTGACGATGGGGGGTAAAAAGCTTAAGCTTGCAATTTGGGACACTGGTATTCACATATAGTGCTATTTGTTGATTATTGTTTCGTTTTGTTTAAGCTATTGCCTATTGATGCTGCTGAATTCTAGACGTGGCAGTCATGGAGGATTTTTGCCTTGTTAGTGTTATTGAGGCCAATACCTTAATTGACCGACTCTGTTTTTTTTTACACACACACACATATATATAGAGATAGATATATGTATTTATATGTGTGTATGTATGTAATGCAGCTGGTCAGGAGAGATTCAGAACACTGACAAGTTCTTACTACCGAGGGGCACAAGGAATCATCATGGGCAAGTTTCCCGTTTCCATCTTTTGGCTTTCCCTCTTCCCCAATTCTGCTTTTACTGGACTTGGGGAAAATGTGATTTACCTTGAATGAGAACCTGGATTGCAATGTATATCTGATTTGTTGGATTTTCATTCTCTAATTTGTGGATTCACCATGAAAGGGCTGGATATCTGATTAGGTGTAATGTGTTTGATGGTCTTTGGACGGGAGGTGCCACTTCCAAGCTCATGTAGTGTTGAAATTTGACTTTTGAGTTAGCTGTTAATTTTGTTCCTCTAACTGATACAGTTTATGATGTAACCCGGCGAGATACATTTACAAATCTTTCTGATATATGGGCAAAGGAAATAGACCTTTATTCAACAAATCCAGATTGCATCAAGATGCTTGTTGGAAACAAAGTCGACAAGGTATCTTTATTTAAGAGGTTTACGATCGTATGTTCCCATTATATAGTGTTGAATTTCCATGCGTGAGTTGTTCCTAATCAATGTTATTCTGGTATAAGTCTCCTTCCTTCTTGAGACCTTGGATTCCAATTCAATTCAAATATTGAGGAAATTTTTACACAGAAAGCAACGTCGAATATATTTCACCACATTTATGTTTAATGTGTAAAATGTCTTTGAACCAGTTTTTGTTCTTTTCATTGTCGAGTTTTTCTGCAAGGGTAACGGGCAAATGCTTTTGCTACTGTCTGTTCTTTTCATTGTGTTCTATGATGGGTTGTTAGTACCCTTGTTTTAATTAAAAGTTTCCTCCATTCCAATTACACAGCGTAGTTTTTTTTTTCTTGTCATCCATTAGGGGTTGTGGGAGATCTTTTATCGACCAATGATATTCCTATTAGTGGAGTGTAAATCTTACTTTGTAAGACAATTTTATTAAGTTGAATGGGGCCAAAATTCAAATTATAAAGAGTTTATCTCGGAGATTGTTGTTAGTTTATTGGGTCACCCACTCTTGGAAGACTTCCTATCGGGGTCAGCCACAGAGGTTCAGTCCTTCAAACTTCGCACTCAAGATATTTAGTTTTCGGTACGAAGAGGTGTGTTGGATACCTCACAAGAATCAGTGATATCTAGTTAGTGTAGGGGTGCATGTCTCACTTTACTAATTGATTTTGTAAAGTTAAATTAGATCTTAACTCAAATTATAGAAGGGTGTCAACATGTCTTTGTAGAGAAGTTTCTATTACATATTTACAAAGGGATTTGAGAGCTCTTTTGATCTGAAGTAGTTGTCTTTATTCAATGTGTTTTATGGTTTTGGTTCTTCTAGCATATTTGCTTGTCTTGAAGTAATGTTAAAAAATGACTGTTTGATATCATTAGTGGAAATTGTTTTGGAATGTACTAAAACAAGATAAGGAGGCAGCTTTAATTAACTTACTTCTTTATGGTATTTATTGAAATACAGATCCTGAATTGCGTGGACCCCATTTTGGGCGCTTAGCTATACTAATCTAGCTTAAGCTCTTGCAAGTATCGAGTTAGCTACGTGTCCTAATTTTTTCTTGTTCTATCTTCTGCATCGTATCTTAGTTTTTACTGAGTAGTGATTGCTTGCATTCAATCAGAGCGCTTGGATATGCATAATGGTGATATTTGTTTTTCAGGAGGGTGATAGAGTTGTGACAAAGAAAGAGGGAATAGACTTCGCCAGGGAATATGGTTGCCTCTTTATTGAATGCAGTGCTAAAACTCGAGTTAATGTTCAGCAATGCTTTGAAGAGCTTGTTTTGAAGGTATGCTAAGAAACACATACCCATTTCCTAACATTTGAGCAGTAATCCGTGTTCTGCACAAATTCATTATGCATGTAAAAATGTTTCTATTATTTAAAAGGCTATGGTAATTTTTGTCCTTACCCTTTCTATGTGTGTGATTTGAACACAAAAATGTTTGATTCATATATATAGATATTATAGACACAAAAAAGTAGTTTTTTCACAAGTTTAATGGCTGACGATATATAGATATAATAGACACAGGTTGAGAACTAAAGAAAATTTGGTTTTAGGGGACACATTCAAATTAATTGCATTTTCTGAATTGTGATGACCAATAGCTGATGATGACCATGGCGTTGCTTTGTTCTTTTTTTTTTTCCTTGAGTGTGCAGATTCTCGATACACCTAGCCTTTTAGCTGATGGCTCAAAGGGCGTACGAAAAAACATTTTTAAGGACAGGCCACCCCAATCTGATGCATCTACAAGTAGTTGTTGCTGATTTGAAGAAGCTATTTCACTAAAAAAACCTACATTTTAAGAATGAGGATCTCAAAGGGAAGGGCTCTGCATCCATTTTAAGAATCTGAACATACTTTGCTGGTTGTCTAGGATCATAGGAAGCCATTTTTTTAAATTTCTTTTTTATTTTATTTTCAGGTTCCTGTTTTGTCTTGAATATTCGATGTAACCTAATGATGATGGTTGGTTGTCTGCAATTTTATTTTCTTTGTGGATTTCTTGTTGTCTGAGCGATATTTAATCTCATATAGACGTTGAAATTTATAGAAGGGTCGTAGATCTGATAATTTTTATAAAGGGTTCCACTGTAATTGTATATAATGTTGATCTGGCAACGACAACTCAAAATGAATAAATAATACAGGAATTTATATTGTAAAACTCTTATTTTATCGTTATCCAATAACAAATTGACATGCGTAATAAATTAATTTACTTTAATAATGCCAATTTATACTTTTAAATTAATCATTATAAAAGCTATCAATTTTATTTTACACTGCAATTTGTAATTGAACGGAAAATATATAAATTTGCATAGTTCTTCTCTCTTAATACTTGCATTAATACTCGTATTGCAGACTGGAAGGGAGTCACAATTAATACTTACAAATAAATCTCAATTCCATAGATTATGTCACTCAATGGTCAGATTCTTTGCCTTGAGATAAAAATTTACGATCATAATGAATTTAGATATTTATAGGTACCAAAAAATATATTTATAAACTGTTAAGAAAACACTAAATTGATAGAGTAAATGAAATATATCTAAAATGAAATGACGCACAACTTGTAAAATACAAGATTGAATCGTTTCTTAACCATTGAATATTTATTTGATAAGGAGTCCAAAATATCTGATCTCATGCGCATAATTCACTTCAGTTATGGTTTCAGAGATTCCTTATTTTGGTTCCTAACTCAAAAAACAACTATGGCGGGTGCATGCAGCAGAGCACCCATTTCCCATCTTCCTCTGCGGAACCCCAAAACCAGAATCTATAATTCTCAGAGCAGAGTTCTTCAACATCCAAATAGGCGTTTGTTCCTCTTCTCTCTGCCCCTGTCTAGTTTCGTTCTCCTTCCCGTTCCCAGCTTTGGTGATGGTAACGGTGCAATTGATAAATTTCAACATGGGTCTTCTTCCTCATACGCTGCCACAATGTATGACCCTCTAAGTGCTGCTGAAAGAGAAGCAAGTGCTTTAGTTTCACAGAGAGTCTCTCAAGCAGTGGATTTGTTGGAGAAAGGGAGGGAATTGCAGGCTCAGGGAGACTTTGCTGCTGCTCTTGGTTACTTTTCTCAGGTAATGAAGTGCACTTATTTAGCTACGCTTTCTTCTTTCATTTCCAATCTACTCGTAATATTATATGGGTTAGGGTTCGTCTTCAGATTTAATCTGTATTCATCAAAAGTTATTTATTTGAGTATTTTTTTATTATTGTCTTACATACTAAGAAGGGATAAAAACAAATAACGTTTTGAAAACTGTTTAATTTCTATACATTATCAGAAACAATATCGTGGTATTACGACTTTTAAAGAAAAAATCAATAAATTTATTATGCATTACGACCTCTGATTAGATAGCACAGTGTACAGACTATTTATTGAGTAAAATGTCTGTACTTCTTGATAACTAATTTATATTACTCCATTTAGGTTGTTGCGTTTGAATTTCAGAGTAGTGATGAGTCTGAAGATGATCTCAGGCTTTCCATAAAATTCGCTGATGGATTATGATAGGACTGCTCCTGTTCTTTATTTATCTTCTTTTAATGAGAAAAAAAAACATATTGAGATTTCCCTGAAATGTGTGTTCTCTTTAAGATTGAGTTGTATCTTTTTTATTTGATCAGCAAGATTGAATTGTATCTGTCTATGCTGATCAAAACCTCAATTGGGAAATGAACTATTTGAACGAAAAATCAGGGTATCTCCGGTAAAGTTTTGCAGCTAGTAATGCTAATACCAACAACAAATACTTTTTTTGAAAGTTAAAAATATCCTCTTATTGTTCAACTTTGTTGATTTTTTATCTAAGTATATGATCATGTTGTTTGGTTAGCGTAGCAGTGACATTGATCATTAGATGATTGATGTAGTCTCAGTTACAACTTACGACATCATTTGCATGAAATGTAAATAGGTCACTTTGTCACATTCTATGAATGACAACTCCATATTTGTAAATTTGAAGAGTGAAATAATAGATGAGATTACTTTCACGTACACACTGGAAATGGAAGGCAAGGCAAATATTTATATGATTGGGTTATTCTAGGTTCATTTTGGAAACTGAATATGCCAGCCATATTTATTTATACGGAGTATGGAGAAGTAAAGGATTGGTCATAGCTTCATAGTTATATTATATTTGATCTGCCACTCTAGGCCATGCTATGCAGTGGCTTTTGAAACATGACCGTTGCACCATGTAGGCATCATGTGGTTTCACTATACTCGTGACAGATTCAAATTTTAATGTTGGAACAGAAAACAGAAAGGATATCGAATTGGAAGCAAGGCAAATGTACCATACAATCTCAATTTCATGAAGTACTTATAATAGATTGAGTATCGTGCAAAATTCATACCAAGAATAGGAAATTAGAAGAGTTTAGTTTGAAACAAATGCAGTATTGTTATGTTGATGGCAGGTTTGCCGTACCTTCTTCCTTCACCTACTAAACCTGGTAAAAGTGAGCTTTGCACAGGCTTGACGGAGTGAAGGACTCCAATCAAGTTCATAAAAGCTCACTTAATGACACCCTCAGATTTCTCTTTAGTTCAAGACCTCATTAACATTCCAAGCTTAAGATATTGCGTATCATCAACTCATCTACCTTGCTACTTCATTCAGCTAATTTATATTTGTTGCCTCAACCTGGGCTATTTCGTGGCATCACAAATCACATTCTAAGTTTCAACTAGTTTATTCTCATACGCTGTAATCTGATATACATTATTAGAAATATAGTTAGTGGAGATAGAGGTCGGTTAGCATTGTTGGCTTATTAGTATAAACTCCCCCCTATGCATTCCAAATAATACAATTTCATAATTCTCTCAATTATATTCTTCTTCCTTGAACTGTGTCATGTTTCTTAACATACTTCCCAGCCTGTTATTTTCAGGTTGTTGAAAGCTACAAAGACTTGGCATTCTCAGAGTATGCAAGGGTAGGAAGGGCATTGGCCCTGTATGAAGTTGGTGACAGAGAAGAAGCAATTGCAGAGATGGAGGACGTTTCAATATCCCTAAAAGGATATCCAGGTATATTCGTAGAATTTTTGCACTTCATGGTCATGCTACAAATGGAAAACTCTCACTTTTCTCTAATTCAACATCCCTCTGCAGAAATACATGCAGCTCTTGCGGCAGCCTTATATGCAGATAAACACGCCGCATTGCTTGCTGAAAACCAGTTTGCCATTGCAACTCTTCTTGATCCCCATTTTACAGACATTTCATATGTTAGAGACACAAAGCACTGGCCTCCAAGTTTGATCAGTTCTCTGCAGAACTTCATCACACTGTCTTAAGACCTCACAATATTGATACGTTTTGGTTAACCCATACTAAGCGTCAACTATATAAAAGCAAAAAGTTGAAGCCGACCAATAATTTTCATTAGGGTGTTCATATCTTGTAATTAATGATATATATCACTTTAGTAACCAAATTGTCATTTGAGTGATATATATTAATATCAAAATATTGTTACAAGTAAAGCTTTATATTCTTCGGTTTCAAATATTTTCATTTCAATTATATTCCGTACCAAGCATATATTTATTCAATTGGTCTCAAGTTTTCAAAGTGTATTTAAAACATGTAAAATCAGATTCAAAAACCGATTTTCAAATTCCAAAATCCTAACTTAACAAAATCCAAATTTTGTCCCTCGTCACCATAGATATTCAATCCATGTCATGACATAATATTTCAATTCTATCAGGCAACATCATCAACATTTAAGTTCAAATGATGTCTAATTTTTCAATTAAATTTTGTTCTGCTCTCATAACGTAATTCAAATTCCAATGTTAACTTCCTTTTTCTAGAAATGTCATACTCTTTAATGAATTTGCTCTTAAGAAAAAAGAGGATGATGATGCTTATAGAACCTTTACTTTGTTCTTAAGAAACCAAATATGACAGAAACATATCACCGCTAATTCAAACTGACAAGGATTCATCATTTCTAGTCGGATTATACATGTAATCAATCCTACGACATACTACAAAAAGATGAAAAGAGATCTTAAAATTATAAGAGAATAGAAAAACTTATCCCAAACAAAGTTTTTTCTAGTTGAATTACATCTACTATTAGCTATCCCCAAGCTTGTAGACTAATGAAAAAAAAAAGATCTTTAAAAAGAAATTAAAGAGAAGTAAGAGAAAATTAAAGAATTTGATATTTTAGAAAGTTAAAGAATAAACTAATTTACTTTTCTACTAAAAACCCTTAAAATTTAATTCAAAATGTAACTATCATTCTTCATCAACTTTAAACTCTCTTCTGTAATACTCATAAGAACCGTGTCCTTAAATTTTATATGTAATTTCTTATTGATTAAAAATGATAGTGTTACTTAAATTTGTTTAATGTTCTTGATTTCACAAAAATAAAAAGCTACAACTTCTAAATTATTTTTTATGTAGATATTTAAACAAAGATATTTTTAGAGTCATGACAAGGTATTATTGATATAGTTTTGACATTTACTTATAGATGTTAATTATATATATATATATATATATATAGACACACACAGACTTTTAATAATTTTTTTATTTAATGTTTTTAGTTTAAAAAAATCATGTTAAATCTGGACACCGTTTAATTATTATGATTTAAGCTAATTTAAAAAATATTCATTTTTTTCTTTTATAAAATTGATAATATTGAATTAATTTAATTAACAAAAATATTCTTAATCAATGTAAGGTATAAAATAAAAAAGTTACAAATTCTTTATTTCTAAAAATATTTTTGTTTATAAAAGACATAATATTTCATAAATATCACAAAAATTAGTAAATATTAATTTTCAAAATAATTTTATATTAAGAGATATAAATAATTCATACAATTGCTTTATTTTATCATTTTAGTTTACGTAATTATAAAATTTTTTTATTTTAAATCACGAAATATAAAAAATTTTCTTTTGATAATATTAGGATTTTTGTATAAATAATATATGTCATATTACTATGATATCACATATTCTAAGGACGAGAGGTTTCCTATAGAATTGTTAGCGAGAGTAGAATAGTAAATTTTGTTAAGTTTAATTAGTTATTTGGTTCATGTTTTTGGATTAAAATATTAAGTTTGTTCTTCAACTTTTTTAGTTTTAATTTGTAAAAATTGATTAAGTTTAATCTTAATTTGTGAAAAATTTGATGCAATTTTGTTCTTTGCGTTAATTTTTTTACTGGATTAACGGCTTTTCATCAACATTGACACTTTTGTTCTTTGCGTTAAATTTTTTAACTGGATTAACAATTTTTCATCAATATTGACATTAGGATTATCTTAACTACATTAATAAAGCAAATCATTCTTACTAACTACTTCAATTTTGAAGAAAAATCCTTAATCAATTTCAAGAAATTTAATAAAAATAACCAAATTGCATTCATTTTCCACAAATCAAATTACGATCAAATTGCATCAATTTTTACAAATTAGAATAAAATGGAGACTAGAAAAAAACTAGAGTACTAACTTGACATTTTTTAACGAAAACATGAATCAAATAATTAATTAAACCAACTTTATACTATACAAACTCATAAATACATTTAAAATCAAAGGTTCTTTTGATTCGTTTTAATTTTAAGGGTTAAATATGTTTTTAGTCCCTAAACTATTGACCGATTCTGGTTTTCGTCCCTGTTTTAAAGTAAGGTACAATTTGGTCCTCATTCTTTTAGAAACGTTTGTTTTAGTCCTCGAAAACTAAACACTGTTTAAAAATTTGGTCCTCATTTAGCAACAAATGAGGACTAAAACCAAAATTCTGAGGACTAAAACGAACGTTTCGGAAAGAATGAAGACCAAGTTGTACCTTACTTTGAAAGAGGGACGAAAACCAGAAACGACCAATAGTTTAAGGACTAAAAACATATTTAACCCTAATTTTAATATTTGTTATTTTAACTATTTTTGTAAAATGATTCAATATAGTTATTTTTGTTAAATTAATGTTAATACTATTTGAAAGTCTTTGCATTCTCAAAATCCTCTCTTTTAAGAAGATTCGCAACATGTCAAGTCTTAGTAAGATTATTTGCTTTGTATCGAATTAAACCACATGTTTCACCTTTGTGCGGGTCACGTCAATTCCTTTGAATTCCATTCTTGCAAACATATTCCACAGGTAGAATACTCAATGTGTTAGTTATAATATTGCATAGGTCAAATTGCGTAATATCTAGTATCCATCATCTACGATTAGGACTACTAAGGTATTTGATATCATTCGCTTCCCTAACTTTTGTGTTTCATTTCCAATGTTAGCCTAACATAGTGCTTTCATTGTTGATATTCTTTTCGATCTTTACGCATTTCATTGCTCTACCAAAATTCCCTCTATCGCTACCATACTCTAACTTGGTAGTATCCACCTGCATTGAGCCTTGATATTTGACAATAAACTTAAAAAGTCACTTATAAATATTTTACGTCAAACCATTCCAAATAATGTTTATATCATATGACATACTTAAATTTTGATACTTAACAAACCTAAATTTTGACATATGACATTTCTAGATAACACACCTTAATTGAACAAAATGAGTCACACTAATATTTTTTTTTTATAAAAATAAAGACTTAATTAAATTTAAAAAAAGAGAGTAAAAACTCAATTAAGAAAAAAAATATAAAGACCAAAAGAATGAAAAACCTAAATATAGAAATTTAGTTACTAATGGAGCCTAAAACCAAAATAATAAAATTAAAAAAATACATATGGGAAAACATTTAATACTAACCAAAGGATAAATATAAAACTAGCGTCATTATCTACGTGGCGCTAATCATGCAGAAAAAAAGGACACGGTAAAGGAAGGTGCGGAATTTCCGAACCATTTGATGACGTGAGATGGTTCACAAATATCAGAGTTTGATGGATGGCTATTTTTCTCAAAATATATTGATATTAACATTTTAAAATATCTTGATCTTTAGTTCGTGAAGATGATATTTTTAGAATCAATCGAAGAAGAAAAATATATTTAAATTATTAGTTTGTTATAAGAAACTATTATATCAAGATTTCTTTTAATATATTTTATAGGCTGAATAAAGAAATAACACGAAATAAACTTTAGCAGAAAAGTGTAGAGGTTATAAAGTTAGCGATGTATGTGGTTGGGAAGTTGGTTTTGAACGTCTATATTTATTTTTGAAAGCGATGTGTGTAAGAGATAGAATGAAGCAAATTGAGCAGATTAGGGACAAAGGGTTATTACATCATCTGAGTTTGATAGATTTGACTATGAATTCAGTTGTTCATTATGCTTCCGTGTTTGAAGAAGACACGTCTACAACAACTTCACAGCACGCAATGCTCACGTTAAACTCAATCTTAAAAACTTTATGTGTATTTTCATCCTTTATCCAATATATTACTAATCCAAAGATATTTTTAATATTTATAAATTTATATAATTCTTTTTTTTCTTTTGTTTCATTTAAGTCTAAGAACTATATTGAAAGATTCGATTTAAATAACATTTCTCCATTATAATTCAATTTCGAATTCACGAAATAGAGCATAAAAAACAAAATCGAATCGAGGATTAGTTTATAATAGAATTTACAAATTACATTCAATCTTTTTTAATTCATTTTCTAAGGCCACAGCTTAAGTCGTAAATATACATTATGGAAAACATAGATTTTTAAAATATAGATTTAGAAAAAAAAAATCAGCCATTTTTATTTAATAAGCTTGATGAGTTAAACCAAAATAGGACTGGAAAATCTAGACTTAATTTAATGTTATTAATGATTAAATTGTATGTATGTGGATTTGTTTTGGAATTAAGTATAGTGGGAAAAATTATTTAGGTCGATGAGGGGGTGCTAATAGAAGCATGGGTGGTGGTTATACGAAATTATTTTCAGCTTGTTTGGGCTAAAACAATATGGTTAAGGGTGAGTTTCGTCAGAAGTAGAGGTGTGAACAGCAAAAGATTATTCTTCTCCCTCCAAAAACAGCAGAGCATTTTTATTGTTAAATAATAAACAAGAAAAATAATTAGGCAACGACATCGTATCGCACTACATGGCGTAATTTGTTACGTGACTGACTGTTTTAACAAAAAAATCCACATAGTATTCATGGGGACTCACTTAATGAAGCTTTTTATAAATATTAAAGCAAAGAAAAAAACTTCAATAATATTGAAAGTAATTTGTAATTATATATACTTTTAACAAATTTGTAAAAGAATATATTAAAGACAAATTATTAACATTTTTTTATATACGTCGTCATAACTATTTATAGATCAATTTCAAAAGGTAAAATTTATCTATATAACAAAGTTTTACATCTTGAAATTTATCTATAAAAAAATGTTATAATATTAACAAGCACACCTCTATTTATCTAAGGTGCATATATTTCTCTGATAGTTTACTCTTTCTTTTTTATTGAAATTAAATTAAAACGTAACATGTTTCCAATCTTTGTGGAAGAAATCTCAAAAGTGTCATGTTTGGACATCTTCTATTTAATTAATATAAACTCTCGGCCTTTTCGTTTTTGACATATGAATGCATTCTCTAAAAGAGTATATTAGGAAATTATTTCCCTTAACTTAAAGTCATGATGTGAGGTGTTGATGCATTTGTCTTCTCATTGAAATTAAATTAAAATGTATGAACGTGTTTCCTAACTTTGCCAAAGATTTTGAAAGTGACAACCATATTTGGACCTTGTTTAGGTAACATTACACTCACATCCTTTTCATTTTTTATCTTATAGTTGATGCCTTTGTTTTTCTCATCCAAATTAAATTAAAATGCACCAACGTGTTTCCAATGGTTACTAAAGAAATCTCAATCGTGATTCTCAAATCACAAATGTACGGAAAAAGGAGATCAACATTCCAAAGTCTTGGAATTAATCTTTGATATTCAGACATGCATATTTAATTATATTTGAAGAATGTATTTGAATTTTGTTTGAACTCGTTGAAATTGTAAAAATTTATTAATTTTTATTAAACATTTTTTTAAAGAAATTACATTTTTTTTTCTCCTGTAAACCAAAAAATTTGTGAAGACTTATCATCCACTTTAAGGTGAAGATATCATAAGAGAGTTAAATAGTTTTTTGTATTCCTTTGTGAGAGAAAGAAAGAATCCAATAGAGAGAGGGTGAAATTTATAAAGAGATTCTCAGTTATTGAGAAAAATACTTTGTAATCCTACTTTTATAGTGAATATCTTTTTACTAGACAAGGTCCCGTGATTTTTTTCAAGAGAGTTTTCCACGTAAAAAATTTGGTGTCATCTTCTTCTCTACTCTTTTATTTTTTTTTTCACTTCCACATTGTGCCCATTTTGCGTTCACAGAGAAGAGAATAGGTACCGTTGTTCTCAAGAGTGGTATCAAAGCTATTGGTTTGAAAAATCATAATCCTGTATAATTCAAGATGGAAGGAACATTCGCTCATGATGGGGACATGTTCAAGCTAACTACAAATAATTATTCCTATTGGAAGCCAATGATGGAAGACCATATATACTACAATAATTTGTATAAGCTAATCACAAATGAGGAAACGCCAGAAGACTGAAAAAGATTGGAAGTCTGAATCGTAAAGTTGTGGCTATGATTCAAAAATACATCGACAAGAGCTTGTTTGAGCATGTGTCGACTTATACCAATGCATATGAGTTTTGGACGAACCTTGAATCTATGATTCAAAAGAAAACTCCTAGAAACAAAACTCATTTCATCAAATGATTGGTAAAGTTGGAGTACTATGATGACCAAAATATGATTGAGCATCTAAACACTTTCAAAGGTATTATGAATTAATTGATGAAAGCATATATGAAGATTGATAATGAGTTACAAACTCTTATACTCCTCAGTTCTCTACCTGAGAGTTGGGACACATTGGTTGTCACTCTCAATAACTCAACACTAGACGAAAAGCTTAGTCTGTATAATATTACATATAGTTTGCTAAATGAAGAATCCAGAAGAAAAGAAAGGGGAATGAGTAGTCACTCGGAAGTCAATGTTGTTCAAAATAAAGGAAGGAGTGAACATAGAAGTAAAGGAATTTTTGGAAAGTAACAAAGAAGATCTAAGTCTCGCCCCAAAGGTTTGACATGCTTTTATTGTGGAAAAGATGACCACAAAAAGCAAGAGTGTAGATTCTTGAAGAGAGATCAAAAGGATGGACCCATTCATTTGAATTGTGGAAATTTATTAACCTTCATTAAACATTTTTTGGAGAAGCTACATTTTTCTCCTATAAATAGGGAAACTTGTGAGGACTTGATCATCCATTTCCATGTGAAAAAATCATAAGAGAGTTAAAGAGTTCTTTGTATTCCTCTTTGAGAGAAAGAGAGAGTTTCATAGGGAGAATTTTTTATATATCATCCGAGAGGGTGAGATTCATAGAGAGATCCTCGTATAGAAAGAAACACTTTGTAATTCTACTTTTATAATGGAGATCTTTTTACTAGATAAGATCCTGTGATTTTTCCCAAAAGGGTTTTTCATGTAAAATTTTTGATGTTATCTTCTTCTTTACTCTTTTTATTTTTTTTCGCTTTCGCATAGTACCCATTTTGCTTTTACATATGAGGAAATATGTACCTCTGTTTCCCAACCATGATAACTTTATGTTATCAAAAAAAAGAAAAACACTTAACATACAGGGATGAAAAACACTTAACATAACAGGGATGAAAAACGAAGATAGTACAAGTTTAAATTGAAGGATTTCAATGTCATTACTCAAAATATTTAAAAAACACTTTTTATTTTATTTTAATTTATGATGCTTTTCTATTTAATTATTTTTATGTAAAGTCCTAATTTCACCTTATTCTCATTTAAAACTAACTTCTACCCTACTAGGAAAAATAAATTAAATTTTACTAGTTTCTTAATATTTAATACAAAAAATTGTTAAATTATTGATAAAATTTTATGATGAAAAAAATGTTGGTAAAATAGAATTTATCGATGATTTTACTAATGAACTTTAAAATTGTAATTATCGACTTAATATTTCTTCGATAATTTCTGTTAGTAAAATGAATGTTAAAGTTTTCATTTTGAGTTTTTATCATTTTATGGTTAAATCCGTTAGAAAATTCATCAGTATCTGAATTTTTGAAAATTAGTCTATAAATTTGATGGTCACTTAATTTTTTAAAATATGTCAATAAATGTCAAAAATAGAATTTTGGTTTAAATATATTTTGTATCTCAATTATATTACAAAATGAAATTAGTGTCTTCTCAAAACTTTGATTCTATTTGGTTCCTTGACTTTGAAAACGATTACATACCGTCTCTCCAATTGAATGACGTTAAATTTTTTCTAACATGTCAAACGATGCCTTTTTCCCCCATTTGAATCCTTCATCTTCTACCTCTTATGTGAGATTGCATTCTCCCCCATGGCCATTGAAGCTTCTTCTATGGTGCCCACTCTTTTGTAATAGAGTCGTTGTAGCGCTCCTAAGAAGCAACATCACAACACCATTTTTCTCCTTCTTTTTTGTGTAGGGTTTCTTCGTTTCAAATCCAACCATGCCGACAACTGGCGATCTCATCCCTTAGTTCGTTGACATTGTCACCACGACCATAACATGTCGATTACATTATCAGCGTCGATTCTCCCTCGCGTTCTCCTTCTTCTTCCTCTCAATCGTGAGCCACCATGGTTGTCAGATGGGAAATCTATATGCCTATGTTTTGATGGGCCAATGAAAACGAAAATTGAGTGTTGGTTTTGGTTGAAGGAAAAAATGGGGGCTCTTGGGTTGTGAGTGTAGTGTGTAGAGGAAGAAGTTAGTGTGTGGGTTTTGATGGAGAGTGATTGGTCTCTATTTTGGTGATTTAGAGTGATGGTGAAGAAAATAAATGAAGAGATGGATGATGAAATGTGTTTTGTGATGGAGAAAGAGAATGTGTGTGTGCTCTCTTGGGTGATTGGGATATCACAAAATTATTACTGCCGCATGTACAAAATATGTGAAATGACATGTAAACAATGCATACACTATAGTGGAGCGTCGTTAGATACCTCAGAGAAATTTTAGCATTAAGTGGAAGGGACTATGTTTAATCATTTCTAAAGTTAGTAGACCAAACAAAATCAAAGTTTCAAGCAGAGATTAATTCCAATTTTGCGTTATAGTTGAGGGATTAAAAACATATTTAACTCTTGGAAAAATTCTTAGTAAAATGAATGTCAAATTTCCAACCAAATTCGACAAAATATATTTATAAATTAATTGAGAATGAGTGAAAAGAGTAAGAACACAAAATAATAAGGAGAGTACGAGGACCAGAAAGACAATTATGGTACCGACAGAAGCATATCAATATTTATCAATTAATAATTACCTATTGATTTTTTCACAAATAATTACTGATGTTTTTTTTTTCGATATGTAGTTATCGACAAATAATTACCGATAGATTTATAGTCATTGGCTTTTATCCGTTAGTAAAATTTATCGACAAATATTTTATAATTTATCAATAGATAATTATTATTGTCAATAAAATTTATCAACCAATACTTTGTCGACAAATTTTTTACCTTATAGACTATCGATAATTTTAATTTATTAACAAATATCTGTGTGCTCGTTAATAATTTTAATTTTTTTTACAGTAATTATCTTTAAAGTGTCATTTTCATAATATATATATATATATATATTTAAATAAAAATATATTTAGTGGAATTTGTTTTATACTCATGGTGGATGTAGTAGATTCAAAGATTGAATGGTATTTAATTTATGCTTGTGTCGTGAGTGGGTGAGTGGGCAACAATGAGGACAAAACTGACTTTTAAACTCCTATTGGGATTCAACTATTCCCATATTATTCAAAAAGATTACAACCACAGGGAACAAGGAGACCAGAAATTCATAAATTCATGTAGGAAACACTTACGTATACACTTTTTAGTCTTCATCAATGTTATGATCATTTGATCACAAACATACTTGTGCTATTAACATTATTATTGACAATCCTATTTCTGCTTTGGCTCTGATCTTAGCAATTTGAGTAGCATTCTTGCCTTTGATTTTGTTGTGTAACTACTCTGACTCTGCAGGAGCAACAACAACCTAGTCAAAACTCCACTTTCAATGGCTGTCTGTCTTGCACGCTCAAATTCACCACAAACAACTAAAAGCACCTCAACAGCACTCTCACTGCATTCTTGATCAGATACCTTGAAAACCATATTAACCAAAGTCACAACACCATTAGGGTGGTTCACCAATGCCACTTTAGCACTTTCCAGCCCCATAAGTTTCTCAACTGTTCTCACTGCCAGTGGGGTCAGCTCTCTTCTTTCTGATGAGATGTATCTCATCATACCTTCTATTGCTCTTCCTCTCACCAAACTCTCTCTATTGGATTGCAAGGAACACAGTGCTGACATGGCTTTAATTGCATCCCCAGAAACTTCATAATTTTGGTTAACAACTTCAACAATCTCGTGTACTAGTTTGGGACAATTTCCAAGAATATAGCACAAATCTTCTGTCTCAGATGACCATGATGCTGACTCTATAACACGGCACAAACTAGTCTTTACTGAGTTAGTACCCTTTTCAATTAGTAGCACAAACATGGCTAATTTAGACCCATCTTTGATCATATTTAGAGGCTCCAAACTACCGAGTGGCAGCAATTTCTGAATGCAACAAAGTGCCAGCTCTATGAAGTCCATGTGATCTATTGATACTTGAGTTCCAAAAACTAGTTCAAGAAGCAGTGGCAAGAAGTTCAATTGGAGGAAACATGATTTGTTAAAGGAGCAATACTCATCAGATAAAAGACTGATTTTGGTGAGTGCTTGAAGCTTGGTTTTTAAGCTGCTTTCATGGGATTCAAGGGTACGCTTCAGATAAGCTAAGGATTCAATAGTTGAAGTTTCAGGGTTGGCAGGGTCGAATAAGGGACCCAGTTGAAGCCACTGATCGATCAAGTGGCGAAGAGTGTGGTTGGGAACAATGGATGGATCGTGAAGCTTTTGCATTGTGACCGGACAAGTGAGGTTACCAGCAGCAAGCCATTTTTCTATGTTTGACCTGTCATAGGTTTGGCCTGTGCACAAGGTTACAGGATCTTCCAACAAGTCTAAACTTATGGGACATCTGAATAGGGGAGGAATGATGTTTTTAGACTCGGTCATGGAAAGAATCTGAAGATTCTCAAGAAGAAAGAAGAAATAGAGTTTGTCTCCAGTGGAACTTCAAAGAGACAAAACAATCAAAGTGGATTCTCAAATATGATGTTTCATGTGAAGCTTTAAACTGGAAGACATGCATTCTAAAGCAGACACAAAGATGGTGTCAGAAAGTGGGAAACTTTTTTTATTTCCTCTTTTAGGTTCTAAAGCCTTGAGAGAGTAAGAGAGAAGAAGAAGAAAGAATTATGTGCAAGAAGGGTGGAAGTGGAGTGTGCATTATAAATGAGAAGTGAGAAGTGAGAAGTGTGAGATGTGGAAAGAAGATTGCATAGAGTGGAAGGAAGTGATGGATAATGTGAGGAAAAAAGTTGCATAGTTGAGGAGTGAGATTAATTCCACATTGGCAGCAGAAAAGAGTAGTGGGAGATGATGGGAAGTTTGTGTAGGTCTGAACAAAAGGGAAAGCAGAAAAGGACAAATATTCGATGGCAAAAAATATAGAATGTGGCAAAAATACAGAATGTTTAGAGAAAGAAAGTGGAATAGGAACTGATATTATAGAATAATGGTGAGCGTGGTCCCCACCCCAGGCATCTTCTTTATCAATCCAGTCAAACCAAAACACTCTTTCGCTTTTGTCCAGTCAAACTGGACAACCAAGAGTCAAAAATATGTTAATACCTTTGAAGTTTGAATCCTAATGGAAGAAAATTCTGCCTTTCATGTTTTCATACTTTTATGGTGCACAGTCTTCTTGTTTGAAATAATGGAAAACAAACAACGACAAAGCTTTTTCTCATCATTTTTTTTTTCGGTTTTGTCAAATTGTTGGAGAAGATATCACACTTCACACTGGTTATTTACAAGACATTACCCACTTATAGGTATGCTTCATTTCATCCTTAACGCTCTGTTCGTTTGAACAGATTTCACTGTTTACGAAGTTTTGTAAGCGAGGAATTGAGTTCAGTGTTGTGTTCGTTTCAAAAGAAATGCAAAGACGGATTGAAGGGATTTGCGGGATGTATACCTTTTTCATCACCCGGAGATGTGCGGAGAAAGTTGAAGAGGAGAAAGTTGAACTCTTGGCAGGGAAGGGATCCCAGGTGGGGTCCGTTGTGGGTATTGGGATATTTCACAGGTTACATATTTTTATTAATAATAATCAATAATAATAATAATAATAATAATAATAATAATAATAATAATAATAATTATTATTATTATTATTTTACATTTTAATAATTAATTTTAATTTTTTTACAAACATTTCTAAAATTAAATATAACATTAATACTTTATTTTACTACATTATAATTTTTTTAATATTTTAAAATTAATTTTAATTATTATTAATTAATTTCCTCTCTTTATTAACATTTATACATTTAAATATAACATTAAAAATTAACATTTTATATTACTTTAATAGCTAGGGACATTTTGGTAATCTTTAATTTCTACCAATTAAACTAATTTTTTAAATCTTTCACATCAATCAAATCCTACACTAATTCTCACAAACTTTACTTTCAAATTCACTCTCAATTACCCACAAATCCACTCAAAAAAACAACAAAAAAATTACCCTCAAATTCACTCAAATCCATTCAAATCATCTCCTCCAAATCATCTCCCTCAAATCCATCAAAAAGAACACACCCTAAGGGTTTTATTTTAAATAATTATGCTCTGCTCGATGCTCAAGTGCATCAATAAATGAATAATGTCACCTCTCACGTGATTTCAATATAAAATTTAATAATTAAATAAAAATATCCTCATCATTGTTTTTGTATGTATTATTGCATATAATTTTTTTATGAATAGACTAATTATACTAATAATATGATGGTAGATTAGGTAAAGAAAAACATGACCATGTATTCATAAGAAACAAAAAAGAAATATTTTGAAAATTTGTTAAAAAATAATAATAATAAAAATAATAATAAGACAAAATAGAATGTTGACCAAACTAAACAGTTATGATAACAAATAATACAATATAACATAAAATTATAAATAAAGGAAGACTATAAAGAGTTTGGGTTGAGACACCTAAAACACTCTTTTTATAGATAAAATGTTCTGGTTTGAGAAAATGCTCTGGTTTGATAAAACAAAATTATATGCGTTTCTCTTTTAATATACATCAATCCATTGTGTAACAAAGGATATTTTAATCTTATGAATATCAATATTTTCAAAATTAGTCTAGAATATAAGACTAAAAAAGCTTTTATATAAGCTAATTTGTTTGTTATGTTTTTTTCTCACACAAGGTTTCTTGAATTGAAATGAAAAAATAGGTAAAACTTAAGTTACTTAAAAAATGGTAAGATCTTTAGCATAATAACACAAAAGAAGGAGTTCACCATATCATCTTAACTTGGTTATGATTTCTCGAATTTTCTAAGAAAATCGAGTATGACTCTTTTCTTACTCGTGTATAATGAAACATGTTTAGATAAATCTTCTTAGTAAAAAACTTAATTTATTTATATTGAAAAATCATATTTTTTTTGAATTTGTAGTCAATCTTATTTATAATATTTTCTCATAATTTTCGTATTCGTAATAATGCGAAAAGAAAACTTAATTTTGTTTAAAAATAATAGTGTTAATTTTCTTGACCATAGTTTTATTTCTTGCTAGAGGCAAGAAAAGGAACTTAATAACGAAGTATCACTTTGAAACAGTGAAAGTTAGTTTTTTATGTAATAAGAAAAACAATAGGTAACAAAGAATAATTTTTGAAGTATTTGTTTATTTTGACGGCTTTATCATATATTAAATCTATCCAAATAAACAAATTTCTAGTCTATATTTTCTTGGAGTAAATAAAGAATTTTAAGTTTTTATATATTATGCACAATAATAAAAAGAAATTCTCTTTTAATATTGCAATTTATGTATGTATTTTACTATTAAAAACCAATTGAAGTTTGAATATATTTAAGATGATAATATATGTATAAGTTATATAAATAGATGTAAAATATTTTTTAAATATATATATATGGATATTCTTTATATAAAGCATATCTATAATACAAATTGAATATATTATTATATGTAATTTGTTTAATTTTTTATATTATATTTTACATTAATACATTTTCCCATCTTTTTCCTTAATTTACTTATATTGTGTTACATTTTAAACTACTCTTACTAATTAATTTGTATTTAATTTTCACTATTATCTAAATTTTAATTTAGATAATTCCTTGTCCATTGTTGTTTTCTTATTCTTGCATTGGAAGAGTGTTTGATTTTCACTTCATTTTTTTTTTTCATATTGGTCTGACTGATAATAAATCCAGAAAAAATAAAAATCATATAAAATATCAAATGTTTGGAACATCCAGAAACACATTCAAACGTTTTGAACTTCTAGAAACTCATAAAATATCTCGTTTTGAAATTTGAATTATATATTCCTTTTCCATCCAATAATTCCATATTCATATCAGTGACTGCACAATGATTTTTTTGTGGACTATTGTCTCCACAAAAGCCCTCTAGACTCTGTTACTTTTACATAATTTATCATTATCAAAAATAAGTTATCCTTTTTGAAAAGTTCACCAATTTAATAAAATATATTTTCTTTTTTGTAACTTAGACTTCTTATTTTAAGATTAAAATACAAATTAATTATTTATAAAAACTAGAATTGAACATGATGTATAAGTACGAATAAAACACAACAGTGAATAAATTTTATAATAATACAAAATTCAGGGTCCACAAAATCAAAGAACAGAAAAGATATGACTATTGACTATATTTTTTTAATTCATAACAAATATGATATTTTTGCCGCAATTTCAGGCAACTAATTTATTAAGAACGTATCTATCAAGATAATATGTTATAAAATTAAAAGGTAAGAATTACTTATTTAGTTTGGATGCCAAGATGAAAGAAAGGGAACTATGAAAGGATGAGAAATGGAAGAATTATAATGGTTGTTAGACAATGGAATTGAGAAGGAAAATGTACAAATAATAAAAATTTTTCTTTTTTCAAAAATAGTGAAGAAATGCAAAATATTTTATAATCTGAAAATAATTTATTATTTTAATAGAAAAAATAAAAAAAATCATTAATATAAATAAAAGAATATTTTTAGAACTAGACGTTCTTTCTTCTAGTTTATTTTATTTTTTCAACTTTTACCAAATGAAATATAAACATTTGTAAGTAATTAATGTGTAATTGGAATAGACTCTTCTAAGAAAATAGCTGTAGTGTATTTTTTTACTGTATAATATTTCGTGATGCTGGTAAGAGTTTGTACTTTTGTAACTATTAGTCAATAATAAATATTTTATTGTAAATTATAAGATCACATATAATAAAATATTTCATTATTCCTTCCTTCTAAAGTTTCATATTTTCTCTTTAATTCACGTCATTCTTCTCTCTGGAGACTATTAAATATAAGATTAAAGAGAATAGTTTAATTTTAATTCAATATAAAACTAATTTAAATATATTTTCTTTTATTTTTAAATTTTAAAATCTCTTTATAATTGTAATGATATGTTATTTTTAAATTATGTATTCTGAACAAAAATAAGAGTTATAAATTTAAATATAAATTAATTTTTAATTATAATTAAATTTACCTCAATGAAATATATAAATTAAAATTTAATTTTAATTTTAATTAAATTTAATCTAATGAAATATAAATTTAATTTTAATTTAATTTTTTATGGTTAATGGATATTCGTAGTACGAATAGTATAATTAATAATTGTTAGAAGTTCTACATTGATTAGAGATTAAATTAAATTAAAGTATGTAAGTGGGTGAAAACTTTACTTTATAAGCTGATTTTATGGAATTAAGTTAGAATTAAAATCTACTCCTTAACATGATAAAGTCATGAGTTAGAGTCTATCCTACCCACTTATTACCGGATCACATATTAAGTCTAGTCTCACGTTCGGGATGTATCAGACTCATTCATAGGAAAATACACCTCACCTCATGTGCTATTACACAATTTCCCATTTCATTTTTTTTTTCTTTTGAATGATATGTAGGTTGCAATTACTAGTGTATTGGGTATGTTGCTTCTATGGTCACGATGGTGTTGTGGAGATGGTACTTATAGTCTCTTACTTATAGTTTTAGTGACATAGTGATGGTTTTGGTCTAATGTTTGTGGTGTTAGGGTCGGTGTTATATGTGGTGGTGTGACCAATGATGTACCTGTTGGTTTGACTTAGTGTTTAGTTGGTGAGATGTTTGGTCCTTGTTGTGAGATTTATTTGGTTTGGTTCTATAGATGCTTGATACAATAGCTAAATAAAAAGTAGAAATAATAATACAATGATAATGTATAATAATAATAATAACTCACATTTTATTTTAACATAATTTACATTAATTACATTTTATTTTAAATTACTTTTATAACTAAGGACAAAATGGTAATATTTCATTTTTATCAAATAAAACATTTTTTAATCTATCAAACTCATCACATGACTTTCATAAACTTTCATCTCAAATTCCTTCATTTCTCATAATCTTTTCCTTAATCCAAACAACCCCAATTTCACCTCTCTTTCTCCTTAGATCCACTCCCCCAAATGATATTAGAAAAAGGGCAATGAAAAAGGAAAAGACAAGATAAATTTTTCACCCACAACTCCTACACCAATACCTTCCTCCATATCCCCAATTGTTGTCAACATACCTACCCAATTAGGTGTTGATGCTACAACTACATCTTCCCCATCGCCATTTGTTGCATCGACACCTTCCTCATTACCTACAACACCCTCAACATCATCAATACATCACCATTACCAATTCCTTCACCATTGCGAGTGCCTTTAGAATCTATCATTCACTTGTTGAGAAAGGTCTTGAAATATCTACTAATCAAGGTGATGTGCAATCATACATTTAGGAGGATTCCACATGCTGTGTTGATCTTCCTACGATTTCACCTTATGGTCATGGGTAATGATTAATATAAGTTATTTGCATTACTTGTTTTTATCAATTTATTGTATATTAATTTTTTTCTTAAATTTCTTTGGTTAAGGTCTTATCCATGTAGGATTGTGTCAAATGGCATCACAATAACCATTAAGCAACATTATCCTAAGTGTGGCCTACATGTGGTTCACTAACTAATGAAGAGAAAAAAAATAGATTATTCTAGTGTTCTCATTTTTAATACTCTAACATACAATTGTTACATTGTTGTTGTATTTTGAAATTATCTTTACATAGAAGGAGGTCGATTGGAGACCTGAAGATGGGGAAATCTTAAAAATAATTTTCACTCAAAAGCCTCATATAGACTATCTAAATCACTACAAGAAACATGTGAGATTTGGATTTCAATACTTGCGATTTGGAATTCTCCTTCATATCATGTAAAGTGATCATAAGCCCAACAAAATCGAGCATCTAAAATAGGTAACAATTTACACATAAGGTGGATCCATTAATATACATGAGCATGTAAAGTGATCATAAGCCCAACAAAATCGAGCATCTAAAATAGGTAACAATTTACACATAAGGTGGATCCATGTAAAGTGATCACTTCATATCATGTAAAGTGATCATAAGCCCAACAAAATTGAGCATCTAAAATAGGTAACAATTTACACATAAGGTGGATCCATTAATATACATGAGCATGTAATTCGCATGGTAAGAACCAAACATAGTTTTTTTATTTTTATTTCTTTATAACAACCTATATTAGTCATGTTGTTTATAGGAGAAGGAATTTGGTCATCCATCACATATTGATGAAGTTTTTTAGTAAACTTATACAGGAAAGACTAATGGTGAATTTGTGGATGAAATAATCTAGGAAAATATATGTAGGTCTAGTATATTTTTATGGTATTTCTTTTATTAGGTTGAGTATTGTATATATGATATAATTAATATTTTTGAATAATAAGAGGAATATAGGAGCAAATATTCTCAAGCTAGATCAGAGGTTGCATCTTATGCTAGACAACTTGAATCATCCCCATAGACACTAAAAAAGAAGAGAGTAAGGATTGATAGTTAAGTTCTCGCTATAGGTGAAAAGAAAAAAAGTTAAATCTATGAATTACAGAGATTACTCATACTAAACATGGGGATAAACTCACCTATCATAGAAGTTCAAGTCACTTTTATGATTCAGAATAGATTGTCCAACTAAAACAAAAACTTTTTGAATTATAGAAAGGATAATGAGAGGTTAAGTCGACAATTACAAAAACAACAACGACAATTACAATAATTTGTTTGTGTTGTCCTCCCTTTCCTTCCATTTGATACACAAACTATTAAAACAATAACAACAATAAAAGTAACAACACGAGCCTGAGTAAGACCAACCTCAACAAGGTCAGGAGCAGCCACAACAAAAAATCACCAACACAATTACCAAGACCAATATGGACATGACTACTCTAAATATTAGGCATTTAAAATTTTGCACTTCTAGATGTTAGCACTCTTAGATTATGTTTTGTTAGAATTTGATTTGAATTATATCTTCTTAGATTCAATTTAGATTGAGTTGTCGTCACTTGTTCTTTTTTAGATCATATCTTGTTACATTTGATTTGGATTTTATGTTGTTTATAACTTGAATTTGGATTAAGTGAGTTGTTTATATCAAATTTTAGTGTTAATGATATGTTGGTAAACCTTTATTTTGTTTGATTTAAATTTTATTTCAATTGACAGAAATATAAAAAAATTGGAAAAAGTAAAACAAAAATATATTTTTTTGATTCAAAAGATATATTACATACAAGATAATACTTAACATTATCTATAAATTATTTGGTATGTATCTCACTAGCATACTTACAAAATTTTTTCATATATAACTTAACTAAAGATTATTCCATATGTAATTTATTCGTACATTCATCTAACATTACATACAAATTATTCCATATATAACTTACATACAAATTATTCTCTATATAATTTATCCAACTTTACATACGGAATAACCTATATATAAAGTTTTTACAAATTCCATTATTTACGAATAATTTTGTATTTAACCTTACTTAAAAAACTTGTTTTGTATAAATTCACCTACATTTTTCACCTATAATTTGTGAATAATATCTAATTACCTGTTAATTTTATGCAATTAATATGAATTTTTCTGTGACAAAAATCAATTCTTTTTATAATAATATATTAGACTCTTATAATTAAAAATGATACTTTAAATATATCCACATGATATACATAACAAATGAGTAATCATAATCATTTATACATTCATACCATCATCTTACAATTCACGTATGTCTATTTTTATTATCATTTGAAGTATGTAATAAATTAACTCTTTCTGTAATAATAACATGCCAAATATTAGAATTTCTTCACCAATCTTTCAGTAATTTAAAATATTGATTTCTACACTATTAATAATATTTGTCCTTAATCACAAAAAGAAAGCTAAAAAAGTGGGAAATGAAAATTTTAATAGAAACTGAATCAATTATTTGAGTCAATTATAATGGATTTAACTTTAACTTGCTCTTTGTCTTAGTATCTCTTTACAAATATAATTTGACTCCGCAACAATTTAGTTTTATATAATTGATGAGAAACTTTTAGAAAAACTAAATTTCTAAATAATATACTTTTATTCTTTATCCATTAAATTTATCTATATTAAAATTTATCTATCATTGGTGAACAAACACACGGTTGACTCATTATAAATTGAGCTAGAAAATATAAACTCAATTTTTTTAGTTCAATTTATCTTTGATTAATATGTTAACTCACTTAATAATATTTTGTTTTTTTAATTTACTTTATATATTTATTATAGTACAATAAAAATAGATTGATTTAATTAATTTTTTTAGAATAAAAAATAAAATATTAATTTATTTCACCAGATAGTAGTGTAAAATTAAAGTTTTAACTTACGTAACAAACAAAACAATCAAACTTAAATAACATTCTAATATATAAAAAGATTGTCCACCTCCATAACTCGTAATAATAAACAATGAGTCGAGCTAGCTCACGTTTGTATCCCAATTTGACATATCTAATATTACAATAATATGACTCTTTCTTTATGTTCTTCCATAATTTCTTCCTGCACCCTCATAAAGAATTTTATTCTCATTTTTATCCTTGCATTAGTAAGTGCACCTCCAATTCCCTTTTCACACCCACAATACTGCACCCCATTTTCATCTTCTTCTCCAATGCCTCCAACAGAAAATAAAGGCCTGCTTTTATATGGATCTATTAATGGTACTGGTTCTGTGAAATCAATCAATGAGGCCATTGAACATCATGAAGCAATAACTTTTCTAGGTGATAAAACTGCTGCATGCTAGTAATATACTTTATGATTAATTATAACACAAGGATATTAACCAAAGAAATCTAATATTAATCAAATGGGACAGCCTAGATTAACCATAAAATTCTTCAAAATCCAAATAAATCAAATAAGTTTAATAGCATGATATAGACAAATTTTATTTTATCTTAAATCTAAGCCAATCCAATCCACGAACTCTCATATTACTTTTAGTAAAGAAATACATGTGATATATTCACTAAACTTGTTAAATTTAAAACTAATGAAAAAAATTAAGTGAATATTTAGATAAATATAACATCATAAGTTAATATACCATTCTAAATTTGTAAAGTTGAAAACTTTCATTTTAACTATTGCAAGTAATTAATTTATTGAGGCTAATGTGATATATATTCAATCACAGAACTGCTTAAAATATGTATATATTAATACTATTTTTTCACATTAATATTATTTTTATATTTTTGACTAATTACTTAATGCTTAAAATATATTATTTTAAAGTATACAATAGCAAACTCTTTTACATTTACAAGTAAAAATATTTAAAATAAAAATGAACATATATAGCTGCTGTTTCAAATATTTTCTGAATGAAAGTCAAGCCTGGCCTGCAGCACTGCACACGATGATTTCCGTGGACATCCAACTTTGAGTTGATCAAATATTGTTAATAATACTATGGAATACGAGAGGTGTATTTCAATTAACTTAGTGTATTCCAATTAACTTAATATGATTAAAAAAAAGTCAACTAATGATTTACAAAAATTTACCATTAATTTTTAACTAGGAAAATTTATATAGCATCACGGGGTCGATATCTTACGTGAAAATCTTTAACCTAATTAATTTCACCACACAATAATTAATAGTTTCTTCTTCTTCTCTCATATATAGAGAGAACATTAGCAATTAGTCAAACACCAATCTTGGATCGTGAGTCTATCAGTTTCTATATGAAGTATAGGAAGGAGTTGGTTCAATTTTGTTAAAGGTTTAACTCTTAATTATTTTTCTAATACATTATTGATTAATCTTAGATTGCATACTTTCAATTCAATAGATCTTTTTTTTTATTTCGTGCATGCACGTTATATTTCACAATCACAATTTCAAAAATATAAATGCCGGCATGGAAAACTTGGAATCTTCAACAGGTTTATCAATTGTTTATGGCCATGGAAGTCAACTAATTCTATAAGAAATGAAGTCATGTCTTACTTTTTTTTTTATGTATAAATAACTTAGCAGTAATCACAATGCTGTACAACTGCATAAGGTGCTTAAAAGTTTTATACATGATTCCTATATTTCACAAAACAAATATGCAAATTAGTGCAGGTGAAGCAGGCTTTGCAAACTATGCATAAGGTGTGGCAATGATGGCAAGGTTTTTAAAAATGGTATAGCCACGATATCAATATTTTTGGAGTGTCTACAATATTGTAAAACGTGAAGAAACCACAACTGTAATTTGAAAGTTCATCACATGATGGATAAGCCCAAAAGCTTGATCAAGAAGAGTCTACAAAAAGAGAAGCAGATTGTTGTGCATCCACTGCCACTGAGAAAACCTTCTGTCACACCTTCAAATGCTTCTGGTTTGTACACTCTACCTTTACTTCAACCTTCCTTCAAATTCTTGGCAATTAATCAACCAAATTCAACCAACTCATCACGTGGAGCTTTGTCAATGAAGGAAGAAACTAAGAGCCTTGAACCATCATCAAGTGAGGTCAGAAACATGACCTACAACTACAAGCTACAAGAAATTCCAAAAATTGATAAGTTTATGGAAGAGGGATTCAAATGCAGTGCACTTTGCATGCCTCTTCCAGGGTTTGGGAAAATAAAGACAGTTAAAGCAAGAAAAAAGGAAACCCAAATGCATGCAGTGAATCCTGTGCTATCATTATCAAAGCCAAGCTCTTTGGAAAAGTTTGAACGTAGTTGCCTGGTTTCACAAGTCAGAGTTCATGAAAACGAAGGAGATAACTCCATAAGTTCCTACTTTGATCTTCCATCCGAATTGTTTAAATTCAGCAGCCATAATGCATAACCTGGTTACGTGCGAGAAGCAAGGAAATTAACGTTTGAGCATGAGTATAATATAATGGTAGTTCGAAAATTAAGCCAACAATATATGGCAGATATATATTTTGTTATTGTTTATCAGTGTTTTGAGCAATTGTTATGCGTAAGCTTATACGTGCATGTAACTGGTTATGATGTATTTTGTTTGGTATAATATCTATAAATATACAGTTTGATTGCACAAAACCTGCTTCAAAAATAAACTACATAATTTACTCTGAATCTAAATTTAGCTTAGACAGTTCTTTTCATCTCATTTGTTTTTCATATTTGGCTGCTATACGTCTCCAAAAACAAAGTTAATCTGATATCTCACCAATTTTTTTTATTGTAACAATTAACATAATATAAAAGCAAAGTAAGTGAGTAGGATTTTTCATTGCTGTGAACTGAGGTTGCTCACTCCCTATCATCCAGTTTATCTGGTTTCTTTTGGGGCAAAGCTAAAGCCTTACCATTTGATAAAACTTGCGGGAAAGCAAAAACATCTCAATCACATTGGTATGTGGGTTCATCAGATTTTAACGTAAGCTTATGACCCCCTACTTACATATAGGTTGTATGGAGGTATAATAGGTAAAATTGTATTCTCATTAGCTTCCAACATGGCCACTTAAATCCAAAGAGAAAGAGTTATGATTTCCAAGGTCCATTAATGCATGTCAAAACATCCTATGCCTTTTCCACTGTGAAGGCTACATCTCCTCTTGCATGCACTATGTCATTTACGTCTCAACCTTTTAATGCCTATAAATTATAACCTAATTTTCACTTTTAAACCATCTTCAACAATGGCTGTGGTGTTCTGGGTACTGGTTTTAGCTAGCCTCAGCCATCCGCTAGCCACAATCAATGCCCAAGCACCAGAAGGTAACCCTTCCAATTGGCAACCTGGAACCTCAAACACACCTTCTACATGGCAAACTACAACCCCAAATACACCTTCTACGTGGCCAACTACAACCCCAAGCACACCTTCTACATGGCCAACCACAACCCCAAATACCCCTTCTACATGGCAAACTACAACCCCAAATACCCCTTCTACATGGCCAACTACAACCCCTAATACACCTTCTACATGGCCAACTACAACCCCAAACACCCCTTCTACATGGCAAACTACAACTCCAAATACACCTTCTACATGGCCAACTACAACCCCAAATACACCTTCTACATGGCCAACTACAACCCCAAATACACCTTCTACATGGCCAACTACAACCCCTAATACATGGCCTACTACAACCCCAAATACACCTTCTACATGGCCAACTACAACCCCAAACACACCTTCTACATGGCAAACCACAACCCCAAATACCCCTTCTACATGGCAAACCACAAACCCAAATACCCCTTCTACCTGGCAAACGACAACCCCAAGCACACCTTCTACATGGCAAACTACAACCCCAAATACACCTTCTACATGGCCAACTACAACCCCAAATACACCTTCTACGTGGCCAACTACAACCCCAAATACACCTTCTACATGGCAAACTACAACCCCTAATACACCTTCTACGTGGCCAACTACCACCCCAAATACACCTTCTACATGGCCAACTACAACCTCAAATGCACCCTCTGCATTGCCTTCTACAACACCAAGTGCACCTTCAACGTTGCCTACAACAACACCGAATGCACCTTCTACATTGCCAGCAACAAACCCAAATGCACCTTCAGCAATTCCAACCACAACTCCAAATGCACCGTCTACATTGCCAACAACAACTCCAACTGCACCATCAGTAGCCAAACAACCACCTGCTGTGGCTGCAACTCCTACCACTTCACAGAAACCACCAGCAGCAACTTCTCCAACTGCAACTATCAAGCCAACACCAGCAACCACATCTGCGCCCTCCAAATTGCCAACTGCCGCTTCCCCCACTTCTGTCACGAAACCACCCATTGTCATTGCAACCCCTCTTCCCTCAATAAAACCACCAGTCGCAACTTCTCCCACTTCTAGTAAATCACCAGTTCCCAAAGTTGCATCTCCTACATCATCCGCACCTGCGAAATCCCCAATTCCTAAGGTTTCATCTCCAACATCATCCGCACCGGTGAAATCACCAGTTCCCAAGGTCTCATCTCCAACATCATCTGCACCTGTGAAATCACCGGTTCCTAAGGTTTCATCTCCAACATCATCTCCTGGGAAATCTCCAGTCCCCAAGGCTATATCCCCAGCATCATCTGCTCCTGTGAAATTACCAGTTCCAAAACCTACATCTCCATTATCTGCTCCTGTGAAATCACCAATTCCAAAAGACACTTCTCCAACATCTGCTCCTGCTAAATTACCTGATCCCAAGCCTTTACCACCATCATCTGCTCCAGTTAAATTACCAGTCCCCAAGGATTTACCACCAACCGCCACTCCCGTGAAACCACCCGCTCCCAAAACAGCACCTCCAAAAATAGCACCTGTAAAACCACCTGTTCCCAAGATTACACCAGCATTAAGTCCAAAATCCCCATCTCCAAAACTCCCACCACCACAACCACCCAAAGAAGCACCTATTTCACCTCCACCACTGCCATTACCACCAGCTGACTCACCACTATTACCTACTCCAACAGCATCCCCCACACCAGCCGAAGCACCAACAGCGCCAGCACCAGCCAAAAAAGCACCAGCACCGGCACCTGCACACAAAAGGAAAGCACCAAAACCATCACCTGTTCCTTCACCACTAAGTAGCACCCCAACACCTGCACCAACGCCTTCGATTGAAACACCAACCCCAGCACCAGCACCCGAAGAAGACACGCCAGAACCTCCTCCCCACAAGCACAAAAGAAGAAGACACAAACACAAGCACAGGAGACATCACTCGCAATCTCTGGCTCCAGCACCAGCCATTATTCGGAGGAGTCCCCCAGCACCACTAGTTGAAGATATTACCACAACCGACTCAGAAGAGACGCCTGCACCAGCACCAAGTCCCAATGCGGTATATATATACTATCTTTCGACTCAGATTTGAATTACAATTGTTTACTTTAACCTAATACTCTTGTAATGAAGTCTTAAACAGTTTTAATTACGTCTCATTCATCTCATATTTTTCATTTTGTTTACAGAATGGTGCGCAAGCATACTATAAGCAAGGGAATACGTGGCAGAGTGTTGGAGTCGCCATTGCCATTTTGTTATTATCTGTCATCACATGACACTTTTAAAGTCCTATGAAGAACATGATTCACTCTAAGCGGTGGTGTGGTTTGCAGAACATATATTATTTTTTACTTTTTTTTCTGTGTTGTGATCTTTGCCGAATAATATTAATGGTACGAGTTTTTGAATTGTTAAAACCAGGCACTGCTAAGCAGAATGCAGAAGTGTTATATATTTCCCATTTAATTTGATGAATTTCTGAATCAAAAATCTTGTACTTAACAAATCTGAATCCNCCTTCTACATGGCAAACTACAACCCCAAATACACCTTCTACATGGCCAACTACAACCCCAAATACACCTTCTACATGGCCAACTACAACCCCAAATACACCTTCTACATGGCCAACTACAACCCCTAATACATGGCCTACTACAACCCCAAATACACCTTCTACATGGCCAACTACAACCCCAAACACACCTTCTACATGGCAAACCACAACCCCAAATACCCCTTCTACATGGCAAACCACAAACCCAAATACCCCTTCTACCTGGCAAACGACAACCCCAAGCACACCTTCTACATGGCAAACTACAACCCCAAATACACCTTCTACATGGCCAACTACAACCCCAAATACACCTTCTACGTGGCCAACTACAACCCCAAATACACCTTCTACATGGCAAACTACAACCCCTAATACACCTTCTACGTGGCCAACTACCACCCCAAATACACCTTCTACATGGCCAACTACAACCTCAAATGCACCCTCTGCATTGCCTTCTACAACACCAAGTGCACCTTCAACGTTGCCTACAACAACACCGAATGCACCTTCTACATTGCCAGCAACAAACCCAAATGCACCTTCAGCAATTCCAACCACAACTCCAAATGCACCGTCTACATTGCCAACAACAACTCCAACTGCACCATCAGTAGCCAAACAACCACCTGCTGTGGCTGCAACTCCTACCACTTCACAGAAACCACCAGCAGCAACTTCTCCAACTGCAACTATCAAGCCAACACCAGCAACCACATCTGCGCCCTCCAAATTGCCAACTGCCGCTTCCCCCACTTCTGTCACGAAACCACCCATTGTCATTGCAACCCCTCTTCCCTCAATAAAACCACCAGTCGCAACTTCTCCCACTTCTAGTAAATCACCAGTTCCCAAAGTTGCATCTCCTACATCATCCGCACCTGCGAAATCCCCAATTCCTAAGGTTTCATCTCCAACATCATCCGCACCGGTGAAATCACCAGTTCCCAAGGTCTCATCTCCAACATCATCTGCACCTGTGAAATCACCGGTTCCTAAGGTTTCATCTCCAACATCATCTCCTGGGAAATCTCCAGTCCCCAAGGCTATATCCCCAGCATCATCTGCTCCTGTGAAATTACCAGTTCCAAAACCTACATCTCCATTATCTGCTCCTGTGAAATCACCAATTCCAAAAGACACTTCTCCAACATCTGCTCCTGCTAAATTACCTGATCCCAAGCCTTTACCACCATCATCTGCTCCAGTTAAATTACCAGTCCCCAAGGATTTACCACCAACCGCCACTCCCGTGAAACCACCCGCTCCCAAAACAGCACCTCCAAAAATAGCACCTGTAAAACCACCTGTTCCCAAGATTACACCAGCATTAAGTCCAAAATCCCCATCTCCAAAACTCCCACCACCACAACCACCCAAAGAAGCACCTATTTCACCTCCACCACTGCCATTACCACCAGCTGACTCACCACTATTACCTACTCCAACAGCATCCCCCACACCAGCCGAAGCACCAACAGCGCCAGCACCAGCCAAAAAAGCACCAGCACCGGCACCTGCACACAAAAGGAAAGCACCAAAACCATCACCTGTTCCTTCACCACTAAGTAGCACCCCAACACCTGCACCAACGCCTTCGATTGAAACACCAACCCCAGCACCAGCACCCGAAGAAGACACGCCAGAACCTCCTCCCCACAAGCACAAAAGAAGAAGACACAAACACAAGCACAGGAGACATCACTCGCAATCTCTGGCTCCAGCACCAGCCATTATTCGGAGGAGTCCCCCAGCACCACTAGTTGAAGATATTACCACAACCGACTCAGAAGAGACGCCTGCACCAGCACCAAGTCCCAATGCGGTATATATATACTATCTTTCGACTCAGATTTGAATTACAATTGTTTACTTTAACCTAATACTCTTGTAATGAAGTCTTAAACAGTTTTAATTACGTCTCATTCATCTCATATTTTTCATTTTGTTTACAGAATGGTGCGCAAGCATACTATAAGCAAGGGAATACGTGGCAGAGTGTTGGAGTCGCCATTGCCATTTTGTTATTATCTGTCATCACATGACACTTTTAAAGTCCTATGAAGAACATGATTCACTCTAAGCGGTGGTGTGGTTTGCAGAACATATATTATTTTTTACTTTTTTTTCTGTGTTGTGATCTTTGCCGAATAATATTAATGGTACGAGTTTTTGAATTGTTAAAACCAGGCACTGCTAAGCAGAATGCAGAAGTGTTATATATTTCCCATTTAATTTGATGAATTTCTGAATCAAAAATCTTGTACTTAACAAATCTGAATCCATTATTCCCACTATCATTTTGTAAAATATGCGACACACGTGTGTGAGCAAATGAAATTGGCCTTTAAATAACCGGAAATTGTAATATACCGAATACAAAATAATAGAAATAGAAAACAAAATAAAAACTAGCCGAGCATCACACACTGGCCGAGCACAATAAAAACTGAAATAACTACGACAACTGAAAAACCAAACTCGGTAAGAGAAACCGGTTACGCGACAACTGTAAACCAAAAGAAAAATAAAACGGTAAACGAAATGGAAAATGTTTTTTAATAACTTTTTTATGACAATTTTTTTACAACTATCTACGTTGTTTTTGTAATTGGTTTATTTCATATATATATATATATATATATACGACCTAATAAAATAGTTACACAAATTTATTATCAAAAATTGTTAAAAAAAATTTATTATCTCCAAACAAAATTACAATAAACCTTTAAATTTAAGTTTATTCAATAAAATTCCTTCATAAGCTTAAACTTTTTTATCTTTCCTCTGGATCAGCTTTTTGTACACTGCTGGAACAATACTGATGGAAGTAACTTTGTGAACATATCATCAATTTTCTCTTTACTTTCTATATGTTCTAGCTTTACGCATCTTTCTTTTACTTGTTTTCAAATAAAATGAAATTGGATATCAATTTGTGTGTTTCTCTCATAATTGATTGGATTCTTTGCTAACTCAATAATCGACCTGATGTTTACTCGGATTACCACCTTCTCTTCTTACTTCAAATCCAAAGCGCTTATAAGATTTCTAAGCCAAACAACATGTCGCACACTCGAAGATGTTGTCACGTACTAGGCTTCACAAGTTGATAGTATCACAATAAATTGTTTCTTTGACAGCCAGGTGAAGGTCGTGTTTCCCATAAAAAAAACATAGTTTATCGTGCTCTTTCGGTCATCAATGTCTTTACACCAGTCATTGTCCGAGTATCCACTAAGTTTGTCTAATTTGGTATAAAACAATCTGAGCAATATTGTTCCTTTCACGTACCTAAATATCCATTTCAACGGTTTCCAATGAAAATACATCGGCCCTTGCATAAACCGACTTGTGATCCATGTGCTTAGCATCAAGTCTAGCCTCGAGTTTGTCAACTACCTTAGACAATTTCGTATCGGATTTCATAGGATTAGAAATCGGGTTGCACTTCATCATCTTCTACTTCTTCAATATCTCCTCAACATTACCTCTTTTGGGACACAAAAATACCTTATGTGCTTTGATCTACCTCCAAACCAAGAAAGTACTTCATGACACTTAGATCAGTCATCTCAAACTTTTTCATTACCTCCTTAAACACTTCAACCAACTCGGATTCGCTTCCCATGAAGATCAAGTCATCTACGTATAGAGCAACAATCAACATATCTTCTTTATTCTTCTTTAAGTATAGAGCATGTTCATATGAGCACCGCTTATAACCATTCTTCTTGAAGTAGGTGTCAATCCTTTCATTCCATATTTGAGGGGCTTGTTGTTAGTCATACAACACCATCTTCAGTTTCAACACCTTCTTCTCTTTACCTCTTCACATGTAATCGAGAGATTTCTCCATGTAGATCTCCTCTTCCAACACTCTATTAAAAAATGACGACTTTACATTCATTTGTTATATCTTCCATTTGTGTTGGGGAACTAGGAAGAACAACAACCGAACTATCCTCATCGCAGGAGTAAAAACTTTATCATAATCGATCCCCTTTTGTTGTTTATAGCTCTTTACCACTAGTCGAGCTTTGTAACATTCCCTTTCTCCATCCATGTTAATTTTCTTCTAATATACCTACTTTACACCAATTGTTCGGGCTCTTGTGGTAAATTTGCTAGCTCTTATGTATTATTCCATTCAATTGAACTAATCACTTCATCTATTGTTTTCTTTCGCTCGTCATCGAGCATAACTTCTTTAAATTTAAGATCTTCTGTACTAGTCAACAAACATGTCGCATGTACCTTACTAGTGGAGTTATAAGTGTCCTGCAAACTATGAGTTTTTCGATGCAAAGGATAATCTTCCTAATCTTAATACTTAATCCTCTTAGCAATGGACTATTTGCTTCTTCTATTAACATTCGAGCTCCTGTTGTCTATTCACGAGCTCTCTCCCTTAGATTTTGAGCTTCTAGATGACTTCTCCTTCATATTGTCCCAACTTCATTCATTCAGATCAACACGTATCAGTTTGAGTTGTTCTTTTGCCTTATACTCGTTTGTATTTGGAAAACTCGCCCTTGGATGTTTTTTGAGTACACACTCTTCATAGAACTTCCTTTCAAACTCCACACTTGGCAGTTCAAGTACTAACTCCTTCTTTGACAGAAAAATTAGCCCTCTAAAGTTCAAGTGGCGAAATTGGAAATTCCATATCATGACTTTGTCCTTCACATCAAGCTTCAAACACTTTTTTACAGAATATTTAGCTCTAACTTATACATCCATTTTTTCTTAATTTCTACCTGTATAACCAAACGTTTGAGCTTGTCCTTCAAGTAAAGTACTTCATCCTTCATTAAACCAAGTTGTCATTCTACATCATTTGACGTGTGTTTAATATGTTACTCTTGAGCATAGGAACGTAATAAACATCTCTTATCTCTTCAACCCTTCTATAAATATCATATTGTTCCATGTCCTTTCATAACCACATTAGAGTCGCCTCCAAATGATACATATATGGCCTCCACCTTGGCGAGTTGTTTGAAGAAACTCTCATTTCCACATATATGATTACTTGCCCCTATGTCTAGGTACCAAATCGAGTTGTTTGAGTAGACCGATTTGAGTTTGGCCTCTAGTTCCACATTCAAGCACAACCTTGTTTTTGACCTCATTATTTCCATGCAACTCAAATTTAGGTTGGCATCTGGTCTTTTCGTCCTCCTATAACCCGAACCCAACCGACATCCGATCTTCTTATCTTCACAAAGCCTAGACCCAACTCAACATCCAATCTCCAGCTCGATAGCTCGACCTCTTAGCTTCTTGTCATCATCAAAATCCCTATTTGTTCGTCATCTTCCTCTGAAAGGAAATTATTCTCCTTTTGTGTAGCATCCGACCTTACCACAATTGTATCATTTCGCTGATCTGCACTCGTTTGCATAGTGGTCATGCTTGTCACACTTGAAACACTCCACTCTAGAATTTGATTGACCTCCTTGGCCTCTCTTGTCCATGGCCACTTGTTAATCTCTTTGGCAAGTGCACCAAATCTTTTAAGTAATAAACCGTGGTAAGACCAGGTATCGTTTTCTCAAGAGACTCGTAATACTAGAAAATTGTGCGATTAACAACTCATCTAGACTCAAGAACAACTCATCATTTAAGAATATGTGCAAAAAGATAAATTCACAAGTAATTACAAGGTTGGACTTTGGTATTGAAGGCATTTGGAAATGGAAAAGACTAGAAATGGTATGAAATGACATTGTTAAGGTTAGTTTTCACCAATGCACTCTTNAGTTCCCAAGGTCTCATCTCCAACATCATCTGCACCTGTGAAATCACCGGTTCCTAAGGTTTCATCTCCAACATCATCTCCTGGGAAATCTCCAGTCCCCAAGGCTATATCCCCAGCATCATCTGCTCCTGTGAAATTACCAGTTCCAAAACCTACATCTCCATTATCTGCTCCTGTGAAATCACCAATTCCAAAAGACACTTCTCCAACATCTGCTCCTGCTAAATTACCTGATCCCAAGCCTTTACCACCATCATCTGCTCCAGTTAAATTACCAGTCCCCAAGGATTTACCACCAACCGCCACTCCCGTGAAACCACCCGCTCCCAAAACAGCACCTCCAAAAATAGCACCTGTAAAACCACCTGTTCCCAAGATTACACCAGCATTAAGTCCAAAATCCCCATCTCCTAAACTCCCACCACCACAACCACCCAAAGAAGCACCTATTTCACCTCCACCACTGCCATTACCACCAGCTGACTCACCACTATTACCTACTCCAACAGCATCCCCCACACCAGCCGAAGCACCAACAGCGCCAGCACCAGCCAAAAAAGCACCAGCACCGGCACCTGCACACAAAAGGAAAGCACCAAAACCATCACCTGTTCCTTCACCACTAAGTAGCACCCCAACACCTGCACCAACGCCTTCGATTGAAACACCAACCCCAGCACCAGCACCCGAAGAAGACACGCCAGAACCTCCTCCCCACAAGCACAAAAGAAGAAGACACAAACACAAGCACAGGAGACATCACTCGCAATCTCTGGCTCCAGCACCAGCCATTATTCGGAGGAGTCCCCCAGCACCACTAGTTGAAGATATTACCACAACCGACTCAGAAGAGACGCCTGCTCCAGCACCAAGTCCCAATGCGGTATATATATACTATCTTTCGACTCAGATTTGAATTACAATTGTTTACTTTAACCTAATACTCTTGTAATGAAGTCTTAAACAGTTTTAATTACGTCTCATTCATCTCATATTTTTCATTTTGTTTACAGAATGGTGCGCAAGCATACTATAAGCAAGGGAATACGTGGCAGAGTGTTGGAGTCGCCATTGCCATTTTGTTATTATCTGTCATCACATGACACTTTTAAAGTCCTATGAAGAACATGATTCACTCTAAGCGGTGGTGTGGTTTGCAGAACATATATTATTTTTTACTTTTTTTTCTGTGTTGTGATCTTTGCCGAATAATATTAATGGTACGAGTTTTTGAATTGTTAAAACCAGGCACTGCTAAGCAGAATGCAGAAGTGTTATATATTTCCCATTTAATTTGATGAATTTCTGAATCAAAAATCTTGTACTTAACAAATCTGAATCCATTATTCCCACTATCATTTTGTAAAATATGCGACACACGTGTGTGAGCAAATGAAATTGGCCTTTAAATAACCGGAAATTGTAATATACCGAATACAAAATAATAGAAATAGAAAACAAAATAAAAACTAGCCGAGCATCACACACTGGCCGAGCACAATAAAAACTGAAATAACTACGACAACTGAAAAACCAAACTCGGTAAGAGAAACCGGTTACGCGACAACTGTAAACCAAAAGAAAAATAAAACGGTAAACGAAATGGAAAATGTTTTTTAATAACTTTTTTATGACAATTTTTTTACAACTATCTACGTTGTTTTTGTAATTGGTTTATTTCATATATATATATATATATACGACCTAATAAAATAGTTACACAAATTTATTATCAAAAATTGTTAAAAAAAATTTATTATCTCCAAACAAAATTACAATAAACCTTTAAATTTAAGTTTATTCAATAAAATTCCTTCATAAGCTTAAACTTTTTTATCTTTCCTCTGGATCAGCTTTTTGTACACTGCTGGAACAATACTGATGGAAGTAACTTTGTGAACATATCATCAATTTTCTCTTTACTTTCTATATTCTAGCTTTACGCATCTTTCTTTTACTTGTTTTCAAATAAAATGAAATTGGATATCAATTTGTGTGTTTCTCTCATAATTGATTGGATTCTTTGCTAACTCAATAATCGACCTGATGTTTACTCGGATTACCACCTTCTCTTCTTACTTTATTTTTAGTTTGCTTAGAAGATTTCTAAGCCAAACAACATGTCGCACACTCGAAGATGTTGTCACGTACTAGGCTTCACAAGTTGATAGTATCACAATAAATTGTTTCTTTGACAGCCAGGTGAAGGTCGTGTTTCCCATAAAAAAAACATAGTTTATCGTGCTCTTTCGGTCATCAATGTCTTTACACCAGTCATTGTCCGAGTATCCACTAAGTTTGTCTAATTTGGTATAAAACAATCTGAGCAATATTGTTCCTTTCACGTACCTAAATATCCATTTCAACGGTTTCCAATGAAAATACATCGGCCCTTGCATAAACCGACTTGTGATCCATGTGCTTAGCATCAAGTCTAGCCTCGAGTTTGTCAACTACCTTAGACAATTTCGTATCGGATTTCATAGGATTAGAAATCGGGTTGCACTTCATCATCTTCTACTTCTTCAATATCTCCTCAACATTACCTCTTTTGGGACACAAAAATACCTTATGTGCTTTGATCGACCTCCAAACCAAGAAAGTACTTCATGACACTTAGATCAGTCATCTCAAACTTTTTCATTACCTCCTTAAACACTTCAACCAACTCGGATTCGCTTCCCATGAAGATCAAGTCATCTACGTATAGAGCAACAATCAACATATCTTCTTTATTCTTCTTTAAGTATAGAGCATGTTCATATGAGCACCGCTTATAACCATTCTTCTTGAAGTAGGTGTCAATCCTTTCATTCCATATTTGAGGGGCTTGTTGTTAGTCATACAACACCATCTTCAGTTTCAACACCTTCTTCTCTTTACCTCTTCACATGTAATCGAGAGATTTCTCCATGTAGATCTCCTCTTCCAACACTCTATTAAAAAATGACGACTTTACATTCATTTGTTATATCTTCCATTTGTGTTGGGGAACTAGGAAGAACAACAACCGAACTATCCTCATCGCAGGAGTAAAAACTTTATCATAATCGATCCCCTTTTGTTGTTTATAGCTCTTTACCACTAGTCGAGCTTTGTAACATTCCCTTTCTCCATCCATGTTAATTTTCTTCTAATATACCTACTTTACACCAATTGGTCGGGCTCTTGTGGTAAATTTGCTAGCTCTTATGTATTATTCCATTCAATTGAACTAATCACTTCATCTATTGTTTTCTTTCGCTCGTCATCGAGCACAACTTCTTTAAATTTAAGATCTTCTGTACTAGTCAACAAACATGTCGCATGTACCTTACCAGTGGAGTTATAAGTGTCCCGCAAACTATGAGTTTTTCGATGCAAAGGATAATCTTCCTAATCTTAATACTTAATCCTCTTAGCAATGGACTATGTGCTTCTTCTATGAACATTCGAGCTCCTGCTGTCTATTCACGAGCTCTCTCCCTTAGATTTTGAGCTTCTAGATGACTTCTCCTTCATATTGTCCCAACTTCATTCATTCAGATCAACACGTATCAGTTTGAGTTGTTCTTTTGCCTTATACTCGTTTGTATTTGGAAAACTCGCCCTTGGATGTTTTTTGAGTACACACTCTTCATAGAACTTCCTTTCAAACTCCACACTTGGCAGTTCAAGTACTAACTCCTTCTTTGACAGAAAAATTAGCCCTCTAAAGTTCAAGTGGCGAAATTGGAAATTCCATATCATGACTTTGTCCTTCACATCAAGCTTCAAACACTTTTTTACAGAATATTTAGCTCTAACTTATACATCCATTTTTTCTTAATTTCTACCTGTATAACCAAACGTTTGAGCTTGTCCTTCAAGTAAAGTACTTCATCCTTCATTAAACCAAGTTGTCATTCTACATCATTTGACGTGTGTTTAATATGTTACTCTTGAGCATAGGAACGTAATAAACATCTCTTATCTCTTCAACCCTTCTATAAATATCATATTGTTCCATGTCCTTTCATAACCACATTAGAGTCGCCTCCAAATGATACATATATGGCCTCCACCTTGGCGAGTTGTTTGAAGAAACTCTCATTTCCACATATATGATTACTTGCCCCTATGTCTAGGTACCAAATCGAGTTGTTTGAGTAGACCGATTTGAGTTTGGCCTCTAGTTCCACATTCAAGCACAACCTTGTTTTTGACCTCATTATTTCCATGCAACTCAAATTTAGGTTGGCATCTGGTCTTTTCGTCCTCCTATAACCCGAACCCAACCGACATCCGATCTTCTTATCTTCACAAAGCCTAGACCCAACTCAACATCCAATCTCCAGCTCGATAGCTCGACCTCTTAGCTTCTTGTCATCATCAAAATCCCTATTTGTTCGTCATCTTCCTCTGAAAGGAAATTATTCTCCTTTTGTGTAGCATCCGACCTTACCACAATTGTATCATTTCGCTGATCTGCACTCGTTTGCATAGTGGTCATGCTTGTCACACTTGAAACACTCCACTCTAGAATTTGATTGACCTCCTTGGCCTCTCTTGTCCATGGCCACTTGTTAATCTCTTTGGCAAGTGCACCAAATCGTTTAAGTAATAAACCGTGGTAAGACCAGGTATCGTTTTCTCAAGAGACTCGTAATACTAGAAAATTGTGCGATTAACAACTCATCTAGACTCAAGAACAACTCATCATTTAAGAATATGTGCAAAAAGATAAATTCACAAGTAATTACAAGGTTGGACTTTGGTATTGAAGGCATTTGGAAATGGAAAAGACTAGAAATGGTATGAAATGACATTGTTAAGGTTAGTTTTCACCAATGCACTCTTGTGTATAACCAATTTCATCTCCTCTCTATCAATTTACTAAAGTCAATCCACTAAAACACTCTAGCCCTAATCCCTTAGGTAAAAGAGCCTAGGTTTTCCTTATCAAACTCTAATCCCTTGGACAATCTAACAAGCAAACCCGCATTAAGAACTAGGATTTAAGACAACATGTGAATCATATCCCATCCTTGGCTCAATGACCCACAAGGACTCTTGTTTCAGTTCAAGATTTCATATCCCATCCCTAGCTCAATGAAACCCCAAAATCAAGTCATGAACGTCCCCATACATGCAAGCTTTAAGATCAGAAACAAGAATACTAGTAATAGATAGAAAAGGCATTTATAAATATAAAACAATCATTCATTACACAAGAGTTCATAGGCTACATCTAACCCTAACAAGATGAATCTGGTTCTCCATTTCCATGGAGAACCCTAAAGCTTACAAATATGGAAGATGGAAGAAGAAGGAGACCCAAAGGAAGAGGAGGAGATGTTCCCACAAGCTCCTCGCGCCCTCCATGAGCTCCAGACGTGAAATCGCGCCTCCAAAGAACCAAAGACCCTTTTTCTTTCTGCCTCGTGAGTATATATACTGCCCGAATTCTCGCTTAAGCTAAATTATTCTCGCTTAAGCCAGAATAAACTTCTTGGAGAAGATAGTCATTCTCGCTTAAGCTAAATTATTCTCGCTTAAGCGAAAATGACTTTTAAATCAATAACTTCTTGGATCACCGGGGCTCTTCAATGTAATGGAGGATCTTCCTAACATCTAAATAGATCAGAAAAACAAGGGATTAGAGTATTATTTACGTAATGTAGCTCAAAATATAGATAAATACTAAAACTTAATAAAAGAGAGGATTTAAGCAAGTAATAAGCTAAAGAAGAGTTGATTTTGCTACTAAAATGATGCTTAGATAATGGTAAGAATTAACATTATCACCACCCTAGTTCTACAGCTCAATCTATTCACAGTCATCCTCAAAATCACCTCGGCCATGTGCATCACGCCTTCAGCTACCTCGTCCATTATTTCTAAGACCTTGACCTTGAGTACTCTGAGCTCCTCCTTTCAGGTCAAGCTTCGATTGCAGTGCTTGATCAAGTGGCCCCTTCTTCTTCTTTCTCATCTACTTGTGTTGCTCAAGCGACCCAGAAAGTTCTTCAACTGAGAGTGTTGACAAGTCCTTGGACTCCTCGATGATGTAAACGATTCTTTCAAAATCATCTGTTAATGATCTCAAATTTTCTCCACCGCCTGACTGATTGGCAACAATTCTCCATTCCTACCGAGTTGATTTGTCACCGCCTCTACCCGAAATATGTACCCGGTCACCCGTCCTCTGTCTTCCATCTTCAAATTTTCAAACTTGCCTCTGAAAGTTTGAAGTGTGACTTGCTTAACACGATTTTATCTTGTGTATGTTGTCTTAGGATCTCTCACACTTCTTTTAAAGATCTAGTTTTTGTTATTTTCTTAAAGTTGGACTCGTCCACAACTCTATACAATAGGTACAAAGTCGACTTATCTTTTATTCGCGTTTTTCTTAACGCGACAATTTGTGCAATCGTCTGTTCATCCTCCGTTGGTTCTTGGTACTCATTCTCTGTTACATCCCTGGGATCTAAGAATAACCTTGATATGCAAACTCCAATTGTCATGATTAGCTTTCTTTTGTGACAAAGACAAACCGTTTACAAGATTTACCATCTCACTCGCTCTCTCTTTCTCAAGCACGCTTTCTCTGTTTTTCACTCTCGCACACTCTCACTTTTTTCTCTTACTCAGACACTCAAGACATAAAAGTCTTAATGTAATTGTAAAATATACGACACAGACCTCTATGAGCAAATGGTTATGAATAATTCACCGCATATTTCTATTGAATGAAATTGACTTTTATTATAAGCAAGTAGTACTTATAATAATAAAAGAGTAAATTTTGTTTTTAAAATGAATTTTGCTTTTATAGAATAATGAAAAATTATAAGCATATACTATACCTATTATGCACTTTCCTTGGTTAAATCAGTGTAGTGTTTTACATGTTGGTTAAATTAGTGTAGTGTTTTGATTAAATTAGTATAATTGTTGTTTAACTTCTTATTTGAACCAATGTGTTAATTGTAACACATCTAAATATTACATAAGGATTAAAGAACCTTTTAAAATTCCTATAATCATCATCAACCTTGTGATAATATGAGAAATTAATTATCACTTAATAACGATAAAAAACCTTCTAAAAACCCTATAATCATCGCCAACGATAACATGAAAAATCCACTTAATTATGATAGACAAACACGACTTTTCGAAGACTACAACACTTCCGTTAACCATTGCAATGTTTTGGTTAAATTAATACAAAGTTTAAATAAATAACGTCAAATTGATGTATGCAATTTTGATCACGTACATCTATCAATACTCTAAAATAATATACCAATTTCTTAGAAATTGATAAGCTTGCTCATATACTTTTCTTAATATTTAAGGTGGGTAAATTGATTTTAACTTTATAAAGGAAGTTTAAATTATTTTATGATTTAACTTTACAAGTGTATTCTATGATTTAAAGGATATGTACATGTGAACTATCTCAAATCTATACTCTATAATGTTACACTATCTGGATTTTAAATTGTTTGTGGAAGCTTGTCTCTGATTGTAGGACTTCACTGGATATCAATACACATATATACATATATGTATTTGAATGATGTCAATGAATGTGGAATATGTGGATAAAAACCTTTTTCAATGAGATCATTCAATATCTATTTTAAGTGTTGAATGATGTCATTGAATGAAGTTCTCATGATTTAAATATTCTTCATTTGTGATCGTGATCATGGTGGTAGTGTCTGCTCCTCCTCCTGGTTTGTTTCCAACACATCTTCCGTTCCTTGCCCAAAATATTGCTGCACTATCAACACAGAAGCAGTGGCTGCAAAATCTGATGAAGCCAACAAGTCCCCAATTGCCCCTAACTCAGGACACTCACTCCAATCAGTGAGTCCTGCTATGAGTGGTGATTTCATTCCTTCGCTTCTCCCAATTATGAAAAGGTCGTGAATATCATCCATTGACCTTATTGCTGCTACTGTCTGCTCTCCATTGTTCACCATTTTCTCGACATAAACAACTGAGCCATCATCCTCACAGCTTGTCCTAAACCAACTTATAAGCCTCTCATCAAGTTTCTTCTGAGAGTCCTTATCCGTTTTCACTGTTAGTACCGTACTTTCGTCAGGGCTGAGGTCACTATGTTGATGCATTACTTCTTCTCCATGAACAAAACGCATCACAGTAAGGTTTATCCCTGGATTTTCTGACATCTTCCATGCATAGCTCAGTGCTTCTCTATCATCAGGCCCTCCAAAGAACAACACTGCCACATTGCGAGACTTTTGATCTGGAGCCAGATGGCTGCACGTACTAAACCCTCTATCCACTAGAATCCCAACGGAGCAAGGTGCTTGGCTTAGAATATTGAGGTTCACAGTTCGGTGTGACATGTTGGTGGGCTCCATTTCGCCATCAACCGCTTGATGTTTGTGGAAAGGGACGATAATGAAGGCCACACGCTTGTCCTGAGCCAAGTTGCATACGTCCTCGTGCATGGTGGAGTAAGGGGAGATTACTGTTGAGGGCTGCACTGAGACGTGGAAAGCATGATGCTCGTAGTTTCGAAAGGCATTGACTATGTGTTCGGATTGAGCTTCAGTCTTGTTATAGGCTGGTTGGTCTGGATCCTTGGCAGTGTGATGTTGAACAAGGAATAACGCAGATGCGTGGCCACTGAGCTCGGTCAAATGAAGCAAGTAAATGCATATTGGGGACCTCTTTGAAGGGTTAGTGGCGTCAAGGAGGTTAATCATTGTCGGCACATTTCGAGGAGTGTGGATACAAACTAGGACTCTGAACTCTGATTCTTTTTGTGACATTTGAATGGTTCTTCTTTTGTAAGGTATCATTCCTCTCATTGGTTTGGATATAAGTGACATCCCAGGTACAATGATTGCGGTCATGAGTATGCTTATAAGCATCAAGGTTGCAAACGATTCGCTGCTCAAAACCTGTTGCCAATTGAACAACAATCACAGAGACATTTTTGGATCAAGCAATGCCAATCATTTATGTATGTATGTATGTAATAGTAGCAGTAGTGCAAGTGGGTGTACCTTTTTATCCTTGCCAATGTTAATCACAATAATTTCAACAACGCCTTTTGTGTTCAGGAGCAAACCAAGGACTGCTCCATCACGAACTGATATTTGATAATAGAATGCAGCGACCATAGTGCCAATGATTTTGCCAATGCTAGTCAAAATAACAAGAGTAATCAAAATAACCCATTCGCGGAAGTCATCGAGCAGTCCAAGATTAGTTTTTAGGCCATTACTGGCGAAAAATAGAGGGAGCAAAAGCAACGTTATAAAGTCCTCAAGTCTTTCCACAAGAGAGAGCCCTAGAGGTCCATTTGGGATTGTCAAACCAAACACAAAGGCTCCAAAAACTGCATGGGTTCCAATAGCATCTGTGATCAAACCTGAGAGCATCACACCTGCTAATATTACGCAAATATAGAAATCACTGAACGTTTCACCCTCCGGGGTTTTCCTTACCATCCACAACACTCCAGGTCTCACCACAAAAATATTAAAAGCGATAAACCCTACACTTGACAAGAAAGTCGACAGCATAGTGATAGAAGGCTTATTACGCTGTGCCAAATTAATAGAAAAAATCAAGAGCAGACATGAAAGCAGATCATTGACGAGTGCAGATGAAAGAGCAATCCTTCCCAACTCAGAGTTGATGAATTTCAGCTCTGCAAGGATTCTCACAAGAACGGGAAACGCTGCCACAGAAAGAATCGAACCAATGAATAGGACGTTAGCGGTGCTTCTTTCTGATATTCCGTCGAATTTGATCAAATACACAGCGAAGAGAGCTCCAATTGCGAAAGGGAGGACCATTCCTAGAACTGCTATGGTCACTGCTTTTCTACCTATGCGTCTTAACGATTGTGCATCCATCCCCACTCCCACCAAGAACATAAAATATACGATGCCAACATTTGCCATTGCTTCAAGCAAGATTTCACCTCTTTGCGGAAAAACTGCATCGGAAAATGTTTTGTTTTTCCCAAGCACCGAAGGACCTAATATTATGCCTCCCTACACACATGCATGCATGTAACAACGCTACGTTAAGTATGATGTAAAACTTTGACTGGATTCACAGTAGAAAATGGTAAAGGGACTAACCATGAGTTCAGAAATAACGCGTGGCTGGCGAATGGGCTTGAGTATGTACACGAATAGACGGGTGACAACGAGAACTAACAATAATTGCAAGAGAAAGAGAGGCAGAGAATAGTTCAAGGGGTTTTCCTTATGCCAAAGCCCTTCTGATGATATCATGGTGGCTGCATAGCATATTATAGGTTCCGTTTCATTTACATCAAATGCCAATGATTTTGTTGCCAATTTTCCTTTCATTGTAATAGGTATATTAATTCACTTCCTCTTCTACTCAATCCCAATGTATATATACCGATCTAGGTTCTTTGCTTCCTCAAACATTCATTGCCTGAGTCTTGCAACAGTCACTGTGCAGAATAAATGCATACATCACCTAATTTGCATGCAAAATCTGAATACAATCTAATGTGTGGTTTGGGTGATGGATGAATTCAAAAGATGAAAAACGAGAGAGAGGTGTTTTGCTTCATTTTCTTTTTGGATGAAACACAGAAATGAGAGGAATGTAATGAGAGAAGTCAATGTTTTGATGGTTATCCATTCAAGAGGGAGCTCTACTTAATTTTCATGGCTTATGTTTGGGTACCTATTTTAAGATCAATGTGGGATTAATATCCACTTCTTTTGTCATGCATTATTTCTGTTTTAAAAATTATTTTTTATAACTCCTACCAAGTAAAAATCACATTAAATTACTAAGCCCTTATTAAAAAAAATAAACTTTAGATATTTGATATGTTTTTTACATCACTAATGTCGTTACAATCATTTTTTTTCTTCATCTCATTTATTTAAAATACAACTTACAAATATAATGTTTTTAATCTTTTCACAAAATTTTGATTATAGTTGTTAATTAAAAGATTACAACTAGAAATTTAGTATTGTCAAAAGTAACTCGAACTGTTTATTGAAAAATAATTATAATTATACAAAAAAAAATACATTATAAAAATATTATGCTAATCTATGAATCAAGGACTAAGATGATAGTACAAAACGATAAAGAGCATATATTTATGCATCTTAGCAAAGAATACATTTAAACACAGAAAGAACAATGTAAAAAAAAAAACGGGCATAATAATTCTTTATTCAGTTTCATACATTTAAGTGATTCTATATGTTCTGCAAACCACACCATTAATCCATGTTCTTCATATGAAACTTTGAAAGTGTCATGTGATGACAGATAACAAAATGGCAATGACGACTCCAACACTTGGCCATGTGTTCCCTTGCCTATTGTATGCTTGCGCACCATTCTGTAAACAAAGACGAAAAACATGAGATGCATGAGACATGAGTAAAACTGTTTAGGACTTCATTACAAAACTATTACGTTAAAAAAGTGTACAATTGTATACATACCGCTTTGGGATTTGGTGCTGGTGCAGGCGTCTCTTCTGGCTGGGTTGTGGTAATATCTTGAACAAGTGGTGCTGGGGGACTCCTCCGAATAATGGTTGGTGCTGGAGCCAGAGATTGCGAGTGATGTGTCTTGTGTTTGTGTCTTCTTCTGCTGTGCCTGTGAGGAGGAGGTTCTGGGATGTCATCTTGGGGTGCTGCTGCTGGGGTTGGTGTTTCAATCGAAGGCGTTGGTGCAGGTGTTGGCGTGTTACTTAGTGGTGAAGGAACAGGTGATGGTTTTGGCGCTTTCTTTTTGTGTGCAGGTGCTGGTGCCTTTTCTGTTGGTGCTTCGGCCGGAGTTGGGGATACTTTTGGGGTAGGCAGTAATGGCAGTGGTGGTGGCGAAATAGGGGCTTTTTTGGGCGGTTTTGGTGGTGGGATTTTGGGGGATGGGGGTTTCGGACTTGATGCTGGTGTAATCTTTGGAACAGGTGATTTCACTGGTGCTATTTTTGGGGGTGTTGTTTTTGGAACGGGTGGTTTCCAAGGAGCTATCTTTGGAGGTGTTGTTTTGGGAACTGGTTGCTTCACTGGAGAGGATATTGGTGGTAAAGGCTTGGGATCTGGTAATTTCACAGGAGCAGACGATGGAGATGTAGCTTTTGGAAGTGGTGATTTCACAGGAGCAGATGTTGGAGATGTAGCTTTGGGAACTGGTGATATCACAGGAACAGATGATTTTGGAGATGAAACCTTAGGAAGTGGTGATTTAACCGGTGCAGATGATGTTGGAGATGAAACCTTGGGAACTGGTGATTTACTAGAAGTGGGAGAGGTTGCTACTGGTGGTTTCCTTGAGGGAAGAGGGGTTGCTATGACAATGGGAGGCTTTGTAGCAGAAGCGGGGGAAGCTGCAATTGGCAATTTGGAGGGTGAAGATGTGGTTGCTGGTGTTGGCTTGCTAGTTGAAGTGGGAGAAGATGCTTCTTGTTGTTTGGCTACTGATGGTGCAGATGGAGTTGTGTTTGGCAATGTTGAAGGTTGAAATTTGGAGGGGTTACCTGTACCTGTTGGTGTTTGGGCATTGATTATGGCTAGAGGGTTGGTAAGACTAGCTAAAGCCAAAACCAAGAACACTGCAGCCATTGTGTGTTGGAAGTGATTTGGTAGGGAAAATTAGATTGATATTTATGGCCTGTGGATTATGGCTATGATTCGATTAGAAGGTTGAGATGTAGATGACATAGTAACCATGTAAGAGGAGATGTAGCCTTCGTGTGATTACAACATTAATGTAAACAACAGAAAAGGCATAGGATATCTTGTAATAAGGGACCTACGCAACCAAAACTCTCTCTTTGGATTTAACTTCCCATAGTTGCATGTTATGAGAACACAAGTTTACCTATTATAAATGCCATACACATGACCTAAGTTAGTGGGGGTCATTGCCTTCTGTTAATATCTGATGAACCAATATACCAATGTGATTTAGATGTTTTCTCTTTCCCACAGGAAATCTCAGAAGAATGAAAAAGGAACAAAATCAACATGATGATGTAGATGATACTGCTTAAAATTCATTAAGGAATAAAAAACCATAGTATAGAGGATGTGGGGTCACCTACTTTCATATTCTAGAACTACATGTTTGATAAACTTACTGCATAACTGTTTCCATAACTTTTTTGTTATAAGTACAAATGATTCTGTTCGTTAATTTCATTTTGTTATTCTCACTGAAATTTTTAAAATGTTTTGCTTCTATACTTGAATCGAAATGCATGTTTACGAGTCGGGGTATCCATTATTAATTCAAGGTTTTCACCTTTTCTTTTTCTTCTTCGGCTATTAGAAACAGGGCAATGATACATTGACATTTTCTAATAAATTTATATTATTAGCTAATTTTTACTGTTTATACTTTTCTTTCTACTTTTCTATAAAGATTTATTTTTTCTAATTATCACGTTATCTTTGAAAACGGATTATTAAATCGTTATTTGGATGTCAAAAAATTATTTTTCTTAAAAATATAAAAATTAATACTTTAATAACTAATGAAACCATTTAACAAGTAGATTATAATAATATAAGTAAATGATTGATAAGTTAAATCAAATTGTCATATGGTTATATATTTAAATGAAATATGGTTGTATATTTAAATAAATTGTAAATATATCACTACTCTTAATAATTCTGGTTCATGCTCGTATCCAATACAAAGCCCTATACTCAAAGTATAAACTAATTATTTATATTTAATATGAATTTAAACGATGTATTTTTATATTTTTTTTAATATGACGTTGTAACCAGTGCTAATGAAATGTATTTTCATATTTCTTTTATTATAGTTTTGATTTAATTGAAGTTAATAAACAATATTTAATTATATATTTTCTTTTATCACAGTGTTGGTTTAATTGAAATTAACCAACAATGTTTTATTGTTTGTTTTATATAGTGTCTGCTTAGCTTATGCTAAGGAAATTGACTAAAAAAACTACGAGCAATGGGATATTCCATTGCTTAAAAGCACATTAAGTTATTCTTTTCTAAGTTTATTTTAATAAGAAGCAAATGCATATAAAAAATAGCTAAAAACATGTTGAAAGAAAAGGAAACTAACATGTTGAAAGAAAAAGGAAACTAACATGTTAAAAAAAAGCTGCGAGTGAATTAAGGTTTTTGGATGTTTATCACAAACCATCACAGTCAATTTTCCAAAGGGTTAGAAAGATCTCACCTCTACAAGTCCCCATAAATACTGCAAATGTTGAAGCATATCCACAAGGAAGCACAAGAGGTACTTCTAGAAGCCTTTTTTTGTATATTGTCAGGTATATGTGAACTCTTCTCAAACTTATTATCTTCAAATTTTGTCCTAAAAAGTACAACAAGGTATATATAAATTTAATAATTACACCGTATATCACCACATAAATTTTAAAAATTCCCAATCTGCAAATATAACCATTTGATAAAACTCTCACAAACAATTTGAAAACAAGCATCACCTAGACATTAGCTTTACAACTTCACAAGCACGAGCAATGAAGTCAGGGATCATGAGTCTCGGCTATATGAGTATAACAGAATATAAAACCAATCAGCTAAATAGAAGGCTATTGAAGTACTACCTGTCAAACAAGGCAAACCAATCAGAACAGATATCACTTATATTGATGCAAATAATATACTTATGCAAATAATATTTTCAATCTGCTAAAACTGCATTACAAGGAGTAGTATATGGATATGCAGCAAGAACAGATATGACTTATATTGATCAGAGAGAAAGTATTACAGTTATAGGTATAAGGAGTTGTCATCTATATAATAAAAAATATATAGATTATACATGTATTATTAGAAAGGATTTTATTTACTCGCATATCATATATGTTTTGTTATTAGAAGTTATTGAACAAAACACTTGAGTTGTTTTAGAGACATTCGGTTTCAGCTTAACATTTCAAAAGAAAAAGAACCTTTTAATTGAATACAGATTAAAGAGGGAAAAGGCTACCATATTTTGCCACATTAATCTAGAAACAGAATATCAAAATGCACTTATACAAGCAATTTCATGCAGTGATTTTAAAATATGATTGCAGTTGTCCACAATGCAGAGCCAAAGACATTATTTGATACTATCGTATATGCCTAGAAAAGAATTGTCAGCATAACTTTACTGATGAAGGATGTGACTAGAGAAATTTAAAAAAAAAAACGAAGATAAAAGGAGAAAGAATATGAAAGTGTGCACCCCTCCTCCAAGTAAAAGAAAATTATTACAAACAAACAACTTACTTCTCATAGCAAAATATTTGTTTGTCCCACATTGTTTGCTTTAAATCTTGGATGCAACTTATAGATTTGTTTGGCAACCTCATATATGTCGCGTAACAAAATCTAGTATGGCATCAAAACCTATAATCCATATCGGTAAATCGGTTATTATTGTAGACTCACCTATTATGACAGGCATCTGTGGAGGGATGGAGTGTTCGAAGGTCCCACATCGCATATCTCAAATCTTGGGATGTGGCACCACACTACTTGCATTTTAATATTCAAAATGTCTGAAGCAAATATGTGATCCACAATTACATACAAGTTCTAAGGTTTTTCTTTGAAGTTTGATTTAACCCTTGTATCAAATAGATTTGTCTTTTCGTCCTACAGTCCTACAATTATATAAGTTACAGAGCAGCACCTGAAGCATATAGCTCAGAATGGTAAACACCCAAAAGAAAGATGGCCATTTAAATACGATGACTTGATTACTCATATATCCTACCTGTAAAGTTCAGAGTCTAAAAGAAAATTGACTTTAGACTACCGAATCATAGTTCATAGTCTAAAATCACCATTAAAAAATAAACATCCAAAATGAAACCATGATCTTGATGAACATGAAAGTTCAAAACAAATCATCAACCCTCTATGCCATGAATCTTGAGCAAGATTTTTGTCACAAAATGATCCCAGAAAAAGTACCAAATTTTGAAGTAAAGCAACCCAGTTTGGCACTCAGAAAATTAGACAAGGATCCTTTTCCCTACTACTGCATCATGTCAACATTCAAGTATGAATACGATGCCCCAAATACAGCAATGACAATGTGTTCACATGGCTCAAGCTACATGACCAGAATCATTGCTCAGAGAATGTAGAAAAAGTCAAAGGTTCATAACAACTTAAAAAGAATGGGTAGACTCAATCAAGTTTGATCTTGACGAAGATTAAAGTGGGAAAAAGGGTAGCATTCTCATCCACATTTTAACAAAAGTAGAATCCGAATTTCGAGAGAACTCTAACATGCAATGCGATGTACAGGTGATATTAAAATATGATTGCACTAGTCCACCACAATGCAAAGCCAAATACATCATTTAGATACTGATCTATATGCCTTGAAGAGGATTGTCAGAATAGAGTACATATATGCATTGTTACCAAAATCACCTATTATCTTGCAAACTCGTACAAGTTTATGAGTCTAGTGAGTGGCCATAAATTAACTCAGTTTTGGAGTAGACTTGTGCTAACTATGGCAGACATGGGCAAAAATTGAGCAGACCTGCTAGTTTACAACCAAGTTGTGCAAAAGAAAGTTCATTGAGAATGTCACCAAGGACACAGTTAAAAGGTTGTAATTAGGTTTTCTTCTCCCATTTCACGTTGCATCATTGCATCATTTCTCCTTCCGCGGTATGATGATTCTCCTCTACATTTCACTCTCTTCTGGTTTCATTCTGCTTTGCATCGAAACTGAGCTTTTGTCTGAACTGCATTTTGGCAACTGTATTTCAAGTCCTCTGCATCGCACATGAGTCCTCAGGCAACATGCAATCTGCCATTATTTTTGTCTCCTCTGCTCTACAAAGACGTAAGCACATTCTCCCTTTGATTTTGTTACGTACTTTATAATTTTTTTTCTTCTTTTCCTTTCTGTTCTTATAAAAAAATTTGGAGTTCTGTTCTTGCATTTTAAGTCCAGATAAACCTCTATGATGAGACTTGGTTGTTGATTTACTTTGGAATTTTATTCACTAAAGTTTGCAGAATTATTGTTTTATTTTTGTTAATTATGGTATTGAATTAGTATATATTTACAAGTATTATTTCTTTTTCATATGAAGTAGACTCTTACAAGTCCACAAGCTGAGTCTATGAAACCTCCACAAGTCTACGCAGACTCTCAAGTTCCTTAACCTTGCATATATGCCTACAATTATGTGGTTTGACCAATCGATTATGAATGTATATATACATACACTCATGCTAATTCATTTCCCAGCATGGTTCCTAAAATGCTGAGCACTATCATAGAAAGAATAACTCTGCAACCATTGCTTTGCTATGGTAAATTGTCTGTCCCATTAAGATATATCTTAAAACCAAATAAAATAGAAAGGTAAAACAAGAGAACATACATATCAACTCTGCCAGCACCCTGCTCATACATGTTAGGCCCAGCACCCTCAACCAATGCTTGTTTCATGCTCGCTTGGTTTAAGATACTTTTTCTCTCAGGTTCAGGAATGACGCTGACAAGCAAACATACAACACCAATAACTACAAAACCTGTAACACTAGTTCCTGACAAGCGTTTACAGTTTGCACTAACTTTTGATCCCATAATGCCCCGTCCATATCCAACCAGGCCTGGCCTTACGCAGCCATAACTGCAAGGTAAAGATGTCAATATAATTTTAAAAAAGTTATTAACAAGAAAGCAAACTTGCATAGAAATTAAAGATGTTACGGAATAGAAAAACAGAGGACAAGAATAACTCATGTATTAAATAAAAAATATTTTCATGTTTGTTAAACATCTAACATGCATTGTACAATGACCGAAGCTTCACTGAAAGCTCATCAATTCTTTACATAGGATCGCTAGAAATTGCAAGTGGTATGCCTCACAACTAAATATGGGTAATTAGGTGTTTGAACTCAAATATACATTCTTCACTCACTAAAAGTATTTGCATAAGCAAAAAGCTAGGGAAAAAAATACAGAAGTCATCATCAGAAATATTTAACAAATGACAGTGAAGAAGAAACAATGAAATATAAACAAATACGAGGATGTTACCCATGAGGAAGCTCCCAGGTACTCATGTCACGTGAGGAAAACAATACCACCAACACCAATGACATCACTTTGATCAGCTGGATTGTTCAAAGTTCCATAAAGTGGTCCATCATTTCCATTTTCAGAAACCATGATTATATTATTTGTTGTTATCTCCCGTATCTGTTATCATAAACCTCTATAAAAGGACATTTATATACTATGGGAAAGAAATAATTATTATTACATACAAGTACCAGAAACAAATAACGGTTTCTTTAAATATAAGAGTTACAGCAGAGAAACTAACATGTCATCTTATAACCATTCACCAAATAATACCATCATATTTTCACAAGTAACATATCTTAAATTTCTACTTCGGAATAAGAAAAATACAGAAACTAGTAATACTCTTGAATTAGTGAGCAGAAACACATAGCACAAGAAATTTAAGTAATCACGTCCACCTAAGCTCAATTTTATCCAAGTAATCCTTCTTGTCGAGTCTATGATCCTTCGTCATCAACCCCTCTTGCAGCTCACGTCCAAGCTCACATTTTTAACCGACCCCAGTTTCCGAATCTCGTCTACCACCCCGGAATCGTCGATGGCCACCAGCCCGAAATCAGTGGGGAACTGCGTCGTCGGGTTCTGCCGCGGGATCCAGCGCCATCCCTCGGGGCGGAGGGCGGCTTCAACGTGGGCGCGGTGGCTGTCGGAAGCAGCGTAGTGGCGGAAGGTGTAATTGGGAGGAGAAGAAGAGGAATTGGGGGTCAGTGTTTGGAAGAGTGTTACGAAGAGAATGAGGGAAAAGGTGTTCCATTGTGAGAAACGGTGGCCAATGTTCTGCTCTTCAGTTGGAGAGATTATACTGCAATAATCCATATTCTTGTTAAAATTAAGCCAATTAGTATGTAATTAAGTTAATCAAATACATGTAATTAAGATTATTAAATATCATATAATTATATTGTACATTCTTCGTTTAGATTATGGTTAATTTACCTAATATTATGCTAATAGGTTTTAACTACTAACCTTAGTTGATGATACTTTTTCTCCATCAACTTTTTTAACAAACTTAAATTTTTTACATCTATTTAACCTTATCTTTCTTTATTTTTTTTAAATATAAAAATTTATATTTTTATAACTATTTTATCATTATACTATATGTCAAAAGAAAAAATATGTTATAATCCTGTTGCTCATATAATCAGTTTCAAAATTTTGAATTGGTTTTGAACTAGTTTTTCAAATTTTCCTCTACGTTAATGTATAAAAATCATTCAATGGCACACAATTTTTAAACTAGATATTTAAAATCCTACCACACCGACAATTATAATTAAGGAATATTTCCTTCGATTTGATTGTATTGTACTTACAATATAATTATATTTAGCAAAAACAAGATAGCAATCTGTATTGTATTTTTTAATTGAAAGATTATATAATTCATTTATGAATTTGAAAAATATTATAACCATGAAAGTTATATAGAAAAATTCACATGTCTCTTTGACAAATTTCATTTTAAAATGGTTAGCTCATTTAAAATAATAAAAAAATCACAAAAATTAATCTGAATCACAAAAATGGCAGTTTGATTTGGTTTGAACTTAACATTAAATTAAAATTAAATCTAATTTTAATTTTTGTGTTTGTTTCAAATCACATTTTAACGAAAATCCGGACTATTTTAAATTGGAGTAGTTCAATTTTGATACAGAATTACGCATTCAATTTAATATATATAATCCAAATTATTTTAATCAAGAGATATAATTCAAATTATTTCATTAAGGTTGAATAACGAGATCAGTTAATTAATTTATTCCAAACATTTCATTCTTTATGGGACAATGAAAAGTGCATTCGAATAATAAAGAGACAACGCTTATTTATAACAGAGTGGCCAGTGGTGGGACCCACGTATGTATGATTCTCTGTAAACTGTATAAACTGTAAGTATACATGTATATATATGTGTATGTATAGTACAAAGATGAAAGCAACCGTATATAAAAGAAGTTTGGAAACAAACAAAAGAAAAAGATTGAAAACTATATAAGCTGCATTTGACAAGCAAAGTATATTCTCTTTGATGCACAAGGACGTCTGAAAAGTGGGAACAAAAAAGCCATTACCTAATTAATTAACTACAGAATCCGTAATCTGCCATTAAAAATACAAGTAATTGTATATAATTAAAATTCTGGCATGCAGATAGATTAATATCCTAACATACGTTATTCAAAATTTAATCTAATTTGGAAGGCTCATAACTTCTTCAAGGTCATCATCTAATGACATATAAAATTCATCTAGCCATGAAAGCTCAGTTCCACTGTCATTCTCATCCTTCTCACAATTTACACCTTGTTGCCCTTCACAACTTTTCTTCTCATAGGCTTTGCACAAAACCCATTTACTCCTACACTGATCCTGCATTCAACATTATCACAAAACTAATCATCATGTTTACACAAATTTTGTTTCAATAGATTCTAACATGTTTACCCTCGTTTATATACTATAAACTAGTCTTATCGGCACGGAATTTCTAATACAATTTTCTCATTTTCTTTCGATTTAGACTATGATGAATTTTCAATAAATATAATATACTATGATTAATAATTAATTGCTTACAGATTTTCTTCTTCCTCGAGTAGTTCCACAAGATGCAGTGGTAAAACTGGATGAGCAAATATGATACTCTTGCATGAACCAACTTGTTTCAGTGCCTTGTGGAGCTTCACCAAGGTTGAACACAAGGTACTTCTTCAACCCCACTTTTTCAGATGCAGATGATACTATTGCTTCTGTCAGTCCTATTTCCTTCCAATACCCATTTTCCGTGGATCTGTTTTCCTTCGCTCTGCTGAAGAAATAGTGTTGATTTCCACTTGACAACGCTTTACCTGAATATATATAAAATGTACAACAAACATGTAGGTATAGTAAATATAAACACCAAACAAATATATATGATTTTTTGTTTTCATTCTGGGTCATATGGTTTTGGTTTTTACTAAAAAGAACAAGTGAAACTTGTATATGAGAAGTTACCACAACTCAGACATGTTGATGATGTTGTTCAGGCATCTGAACTAGACTGGTTATAGTAACATGACATGAAGTTGGATCCATACATGCATGCATATGATTGAACAAGTTATTAGATGTTGAAATGAAGTATATAGAGACATACCATTTAAGTGCCATGGATCCTGCAGAGAGAGGTCAAGGTCTGGAATGATGTTGGGATGGCATGGCAGAGAGGTTTTTGGATAAAGAAAGTGAAGGAGAAGTTCTTCATCAGTTGGAGAGAAGCAAAAGCCAGGAGGAAGGTTTACACTCCCACAAGCCATCATTTCGTTATTTTAGTTTATGTGGAGGACTTCAGCATTAGGTCAAGTTTCTCAAAGTATATACTATATATTGTTAATTAAAGTAAGAAAGAGATTTTGCCTGATTATAATTCTGAAAGTCGGCGTTGCCTAAAGAAATTAAGTAGGGGTTAAAGAAAATTACCTAACAAAAAGAAGCTCTCTCTTATGTTCTAATTTGTAAGTTTTAGGTTTTTAATTTATGGAAGAGATATTTGAGTTAAATTTCATATAATAGAGTCATATTACTTTTAATTCAAAATCTTAAAATTATTTCTGTTAGATTTAGTGTTTATCATTATTATGTCAAAAACTATAATTGATAATCAGATAATAATTCTTTTTACTTAAAAATATTATAGTTAAAGTGTCATTTGACTGTAACTTAATGAAATAATCGATAAACACTTAAATCTTAATTATGAGAAGTAAAATATTCAATTTTCTCGATTTCATTCGATGTATAACATTGAACTTTAAATTTTGTACTGTGAATCATAATTTAACATCACATTATTGTGCATAATTATTTGAGTTAGCAAGGATAAGCACTGGGGGAATATTAAGACCTGCCTTATCTGCATGATGCATGTTTCCTCCTTTTTTTTTAACTGTCAATTCTAGTTTCCTCCCACTTGCTACCACAATCCATCACCAACACCTTAATTTCGCTTTCTTAATTATCTATTCAATTAATGCAGAATATTTGAACATTTGTTTCGAATCTAGTTACTTCCATGGATGACAAGATTATATGTGATAAGAATTACTCTATCTAGAAAGATGTTCCAAGATTTAAATTAGTCTCAAAGTAAAATGAAAAAGGAAATATATTTTGAAAAGTGGATATTCCTAACAAATAGTGGGACTAGTCAAAGTTGGAGTGTCATGTGCATATAATTTCGGCTTTACTTTTTGACTTCTCACTTAAACCATAGTGAAAGTAATTTTTAAAATTTACTGCACAAAAAAAAAATGTTTGGCCAACCTTTTACTTACTTATTCACATGTAATCAAGGTTGGACACGAGTGGGTTGAGTTCATACTAGTAGAGATAATTAAATTGATTAACGTTAAAATTTTGATTTTTTAAACCTAAATTGATTTTTATTTGGATTGAATTGATTTGGATATGTATCCACTCTTATGGTATAAATAATTAAGTAGTGGATAGAGATGGGCATGATCAATATGGTTATTAATTAGCAACTTTAATTATAATTATCTAGTAAGCACTGGTATATGGTGAATGGTGGGGCAATGACATCTAAAAATGTGTTCTTTACATGGTTTGAATAGCATGTGTCATAAGTGTTCTTGCTCACCTTCACCCAGGCATGAATCATTTTAACCCTAACCATGGAAGTTCATCCTCACACCCCAAAAAGATAAAATCATTCAAAATGTTAAAGGCAACCCATTTGAATTTTTAATTATTGCAATCTGCACCGTTAGAGGAGGATTAAATTACGTGCTAATTAAAGACTCTGAATGCTTAATTAGAGGCATTGCATTGTTCACAAATTCACAGTACATTTAAAAATAAAGTCTCTTTTCTTCATTTTTCTGCCCTTATTTTCCGCTTCTTAATTATGAAAAGAAGCACCTTTGGTTCCTGGTACTTGTCCTCTTCATCTATTTTTGGCAACATTGATTCTACCAAATTAACGTTATTCTGGTACGCTACTTAGTGAGACAAATATAACAGACACAAATAATTCTGTTGCATTATGGTGGATGTTTTTGTGGCTCTTAGTATCTGATTCATTAACCATCATTACGTTTCACTAAAGGATAAAACTTTATGAGATCTTGCGTCATGCAGTGCTTGGTAGGTCATTACCTTTTGCTGCCACTATGTCTGTTCATAAACAAAGTTTTTTATTTAACTCTGATTTTATTACTTTAACCATTGCCAACAAATGCAAACCATATATATGTGTGAATGGAAATTCTACTTAGCAATATGAACATAAAAAGCATCAAGCTTAGATTTTTTTTTTTTTTCAAATTTTGACGAGGAGGATTTGTTGTTTACTTTGTTTTCCACTAGAAACACTTTTAAGTGTTCACATTCTTTTTCATTTTATTACTACCAACCTACCGTTTGGGTAACTAATTAGAGGTCTTGTTGTTTTCTCATACATCAATCTATAATCCTTTGGGAATATTGACACTATGTTTAGAGTGTGTTTAATAATACAATAAATCTTAATGTTCTAGTTTTTGTTTTGAAGATTAAAATGGTTTAGTATTTATGTGGGTGAGACTTTCACATGTCACATATTGGATTTAAACCAATTTGGGAGTGAATCGATTAAAGGGTATAACTTTGTTTCCTTTAATTTATTAATACAATATTTAAGCCCAAAAAGATAAAATAAAAAAAATGCTAATTTTATAATTTTTAAGTTTGATCATTATTTTAAATTAAAAAACAAATTACTCTGGTTAACAAGATCCTTCTATTAATTCATGAGAGCCTTTTTATTTCTTAATTAAAAATTATTTTATTATTTAGAAGTACTTGTGTTAGTTGTTTCATATAATATGGCTGAAATGATAAAATATAAAGTTGATAATTGAGAGGAAAAGAAAAAAAGAGGAAAAGAGAATAAGAAAGAATAGGAAAATTTTATTGAATAATTCTATCTAAAATTTGTATTGTTGAACAAATTAAATCCGTAAAAAAAAATTGTATAGATATCATTAAAAAAACTACATCAATAGATTGTAACAACATCAATTACACGTAAATCTTTCTTACGAAACTACTAATCAAATATCAAAATGTTGTTACATTTAATATGGTGAGTATATTTCTTCAAAATCAATACTATATCTTTGTAAAAATTTTAAGCAATTAAGTGTGATTTGTATCTAATAATTTCACCATTTTTATTTTGTTTTTGTAAAAAATTTATTTGTACTCAACCAGTCCAATATTATAGTACTTGGCGTGCTACTAAGTGCATGTTTGGAAACTCATTACTTTTTGACTAAAACAGATTACTTCAGTTCCTTCCACCAACGTACTTTTTGGCCCCAACAACCAGATTCCCAAACACACCCTAATTCTACCAGTGGCGGTATGCAAAATGTCTAAAACAAGTAATATGTTGGTCACTTTCACAGTGATCCTCACAATACATATAACTTTGCTAAGCTCACTGAATAGAAAGTGAAATCCACTTAAAAAATTGAGGCTCAATCAATTTGTTTAGAGTGTTTAGAAACTTTATAGCTTGCACTCCTCAGTGATATAAAAAGAAGGTTTTATTCCTTTGTATATAGTGACATGGCTATGACAACATGATCACAAGCAATTCTGTACCATTGCTTTGCTTCTATGTGATAAGTGGGGCAGAGACAACCTAAGGAGGTAACGACATACACTTGTGGATGGATCCCACAAAACATGAAATTATTAATGTTAGCTAGATTATATATACTTGTCATGTCAGTTTCTGATTTCGACATCAAAGGGAATGAATGTGTTTTATCCTCTGAATTGCTTGCTTAACTTTTGTAGATGGCTCTTCGTACAAAATGTTAGGGTCATCAAATTCAGATGCCAAGCTTCTATCACCAAGAAGAGCACGAAATGTGTCTGCCACTGAATATGACAGAGACTTCAGATTATATCCTCCCTCCAAGAAAAACACACACCGTCCCCCACATAAATCCCTCGCTAGTTGCTTAATACTGGATGCTAGCATGTAATATGTTCCAGTTGTATATTGAAGATTAGCGAGTGGATCCAACACGTGCCCGTCATACCTAACAAATGAACACGAAATTCCACATGTAAAAATGAGACGGTGCTAAAATTGATTCAGTGTTTCTATTTATGAGCATGATTCANAACAACATCAATTATACATAAACACGTAAATATAGGCTTTCTTATGAAACTACTAATCAAATATCAAAATAGTGTCGTCAAAATGGGTTGAAACCCGTGAGCCAACCCGGCTCACCACGGGTTTGAGCTGGGTTGGATTGGAAAAAAATACAAAAATTTTGATGTGAGCCAATTTTGACTCGGCTCACTAAGAACCTGGCTTGATGGGTCGGATTGACTCATCAATCCACCTATTTTTTTTAATTAAACTAAATTATTGAAATTAAATTAATTATTCAAAATGCACAACCTTTACCCTCTTTGCAAATAAAACCCTAATATTATAGATTGGATAATATTATAGATGGAGATAAAAAAGAATATGCTTGAAGAGAGCATAATACTGTGGATTTATCCATTCAGGACCCCAATTTAATAGATGGATAATATTATAGATTGGATAATTCAGGAATATATCATTTGTTTTATCTTGTTTTTAGACCTATCTACAAGCATGATAGTTTTATCTTGTGCTATATATTTTTGTTAACGGCTATATGTAGTTTCTCGGTCAAACGGTTATGTATGTCTCATTAAATTAAATTGGCAAATTTGTCTCATTAAATTAAATTGACAAATTTTTATGTTTGATAGCTTAGAATATATATAATAATATATTTCTTTTGTTTCGTTTTCTTTTATATCAATTGGTCTAATTATTACTGTTTTAATCTGATCGATCAAAGTAACATGTTATAAGAATCTGAGAAGAAGAGGGTGAAAAAAAAGTTAATTAAGTGAGCCAATGAATCAACCCGTTTAACCCACCAACCCCGTGGTGGGTCGGATCGGATTCGAATTTTTTTAACTCGCTAATAAATGAGTCGGGTTGGGTTGGTTCACTAAGTGGCCAACCCATGGTGGGTCGGGTCGGGCTGGGTTACCCGTTTTGACAGCTCTATATCAAAATATTGTTACATTTAATATTGGTGAGTATATTTCTTCAAAATCAATACTATATCTTTGTAAAAAATTTAAGCAATTAAGTGTGATTTGTATCTAATAATTTCACCATTTTTATTTTGTTTTTGTACAAAAATTTATTTGTACTCAACCAGTTATTCGAGTTATAAAATTGATTTAATGGTAAAAACTCGAAGGAAAGGTAAGAGTCGTTGCAATTCAACTCTTTAAATAACATTTGAGAAATATAAAGTCGGTTTGAAAGGTTTTGAAAAAAATAGTAGAAGAGATTGCCCAGTCCAATATTATAGTACTTGGCGTGCTACTAAGTGCATGTTTGGAAACTCATTACTTTTTGACCAAAACAGATTACTTCAGTTCCTTCCACCAACGTACTTTTTGGCCCCAACAACCAGATTCCCAAACACACCTTAATTCTACCGTGGCGGTATGCAAAATGTCTCAAACAAGTAATATGTTGGTCACTTTCACAGTGATCCTCACAATACATATAACTTTGCTAAGCTCACTGAATAGAAAGTGAAATCCACTTGAAAAATTGAGGCTCAATCAATTTGGTGAGACTAATTTGTTAAGAGTGTTTAGAAACTTTATAGCTTGCACTCCTCAGTGATATAAAAAGAAGGTTTTATTCCTTTGTATATAGTGACATGGCTATGACAACATGATCACAAGCAATTCTGTACCATTGCTTTGCTTCTATGTGATAAGTGGGGCAGAGACAACCTAAGGAGGTAACGACATACACTTGTGGATGGATCCCACAAAACATGAAATTATTAATGTTAGCTAGATTATATATACTTGTCATGTCAGTTTCTGATTTCGACATCAAAGGGAATGAATGTGTTTTATCCTCTGAATTGCTTGCTTAACTTTTGTAGATGGCTCTTCGTACAAAATGTTAGGGTCATCAAATTCAGATGCCAAGCTTCTATCACCAAGAAGAGCACGAAATGTGTCTGCCACTGAATATGACAGAGACTTCAGATTATATCCTCCCTCCAAGAAAAACACACACCGTCCCCCACATAAATCCCTCGCTAGTTGCTTAATACTGGATGCTAGCATGTAATATGTTCCAGTTGTATATTGAAGATTAGCGAGTGGATCCAACACGTGCCCGTCATACCTAACAAATGAACACGAAATTCCACATGTAAAAATGAGACGGTGCTAAAATTGATTCAGTGTTTCTATTTATGAGCATGATTCAGAGAAAGACTCACCCAGCAGAAACAAGAATGATGTCTGGTTTAAATCTTTGGGCACATGGTACAATAACTTCATCGAACACGGTTCTAACAGCAGTATCACCTGAGCCTCCAGGAAGAGGCAGATTTAATGTGGTTCCTTCACCATCCCCACTTCCCACTTCATTAAATTTACCGGTGCCTGGGTAGCTTCCATCCTGAGCCATGGAAGCCATGAGAAAGCTCAAAATCGCACCTTTCTTCCCATTTTAGCAGATTAGCAAAAGTTTTACTATTTCTTATCTTAGTTCACAGAATGTTTATCCCCCTCACATTACCTAGATGCCCCATAAAAACACTTCCATGTGTCCAGTGCCCCATTACATTATCATATTATATGTTGAAACGTGCAAATAAAGGGTAGGTGGTAGTCTCTTTGATTTTTATCTAATTGATATTGCATGACAGTTCGTGGGTACGTAGTGTAAAAAAGGGTACTCAGTGCAAATATGTGAAGTTTTAGCTTGTTACTTTGTCCAACCACGTAAATATATTTCAGCAGGGAGCATTACAATATGCAAGGCACACTACTAAGTTGGGAGATAATATGCTTAAATCAAAGATCAGGGGAGACAATGCAGTTACATCAACAAATTAAGGAATAATTGCAGTTATGTCAAGAATAAAAGTATAGACATTATATATTAATCAATTGCTCCAAAGGAATAACATCAGAAACTAAAGCAGTTGGGCCATGGCTTCAATTTCAGAATTAGCACTGAGAAGATCTTGATACCATTGAGATGCAACATACAGAAGAAGTTCTGCAATTTCAGTATATTGATATGGTAAAATTAATTGTAAAGGGTACATGAGAGTGGAAGAGGTAAAGAACCCATGTCCACCAGAGATGGCTCAAGTGAATCAGTAGTCTCGTTGAATGTTACAAAAAGACAGACAATAGAATGGATATTAAATAGCATAATAGCATATATAAAGTAGTTATTTGTAAAATGTTTTAATATATAAAAATGTTGAATAAGAATACTTTTAGTGAGAAAAATATGGTCAGCGGCAATATACAAGGATAACACTTTCCCGTGAGCATCCAGATACCAGATTAAAACTGAACAGCATTTCATGATACAGTCATCTTTCCCTCTACCACGAGGCATCATCTTCAAGTAAAATAAATAAAAATTGTGTAATAATCTAAAATTTTAATTTATTAGAGACATAAATTTTCAAGAATCTTAGCAAATTTACACTGAAGATAACTCTGCTTCTAATTTCTAAAACATCAGTGAGATAACATTGGAAAAAGAAACCAGAATCATTGAACCCAGTTGGCATTTCAAAATCAACAAAAACACAAGAAAATATAACCAGAGCTAGACTAAATTTGAAGCTTACTTGATGAAACGAAAGGAAAAATACATCTGGATCATTATAGAAAGCATCATTTGTTCCATTCCCATGATGAACATCAAAATCAATAATAAACACCNCAATATTTGCGTTGACATATAGAAATTCCTTTGCTAGAATGAGCCACCTCTATTCCCAAAAAGTATTTCAATTGACCAAGATCCTTTATATGAAAAGGAGAGTGAAGGATGGTCTTAATTTTAGTAATTTCAGAAGCACAATTTCCCGTAAGAACGATATCATCAACGTAAACAATGAGAGCAGTGAAAGCATAACCAGTAACTTTGACAAATAAACTATGATCAGCATGTGCTTGAACAGACCCAGAAGATAGCAATAGAAGAGATAATTTTTCATATCATTTGCGACTTGCTTGTTTCAAGCCATAGAGAGACTTTTTAAGCTTGCAACAATTATTAGTAGAATGACCAGACAGTCCAGGAGGAATTACCATATACACGTCTTCTGAAAGGTCCCCATGGAAAAAAGCATTGCTGGCGCCGAGTTGTTGCAAGTCCCAATTGTGGATGGATGCCAAAGCTAGAAGGACCCTGACAGTAGCCATTTTTACGACAAGGGAAAAAGTTTCCAGATAATCGACCCATTCAATTTGTGAGTACCCTTTCGCAACAAGGCGAGCTTTATAGCATTCCACATATCCATCAGGCCTTCGCTTAATTTTGAAAACCCATTTGCATCCGATGGGTTTGACAGAGGGAGGTGTCGGAATAATGTCCCAAGTTTTGTTCTGCTTCAAGGCTAAAATTTCGGCTTACATGGCCTCCTGCCAGCAATGTTGGGTAACAGCCTCTTGATACGTCTTTGGTTCTTCCTCTCGATTGAGACACATCAAAAAGTGAGAATAAGGAGAAGACAAGTGAGAATGAGTGACGATGGACTAGAGAGGATACAAGATCTTTGAAGGGGATTGGTTAGAATCCTTTGGAACAATGGCCAAATCACCGGAAGAAATGTTGCAATAATAATCATCAAGATAGCTTGGACGAGTGGTGATCCGGGTTGAATGTCACGGAGGTGGAGGGGAATTTGGTGGTGGTGATGAGGGAGAGGGTTGATGGTGCGGTGAAGGAGGGTCACTGATTTGTGATGAAGAAGGTAAGTTAGGACAAAGAGTGAGATCTTGGGAGTCTATAGGCTCATGGTGAGTGGGTGATTCAAAGGAAGGGTGGTTGGAATAGTCTATTTCAAGTTCTGGAAGGGTTTGAATATGAATTGGGCTAGTGTCATGGTCTGGGAGTGCATTGGTATTAGATTGTGAAGCTGGATAGGGTAGTGAAAAAGGAAAAAACGTCTCATTAAATGTAACATTACGTGATACAAAAATTTCTTTGTTGTTGATGTAAAAAATGACATAGCCTTTGGTTCCTGTTTGGAAGCCTAAACAACTCCCACGTCTAGAGCGGGCGTCAAATTTTTGGCGAGAAGGATTTGTTGATGCATAGCAAAGACAACCAAAAATTTTAATCATAGAAAAATCAAGAGGTTCTTTGTACAATAATTCAAAGGGAGTTTTATTTTGAATAACAAGTGAAGGAACACGGTTTATTGGGAAAACTGCATGTTTAATAACATAAGACCAAAAAGGTGTGGGAAGGTTAGATTGAAACATGAGGGCCCTAACCACATTAAGAATGTGTTGATGTTTTCATTCGACACGTCCATTTTGTTGGGGGTATAAACACAACTTGTTTGATGTAAAATGCCCTTTGATGAAAAATAATATCTTTGAAAAAATTCAGGTCCATTGTCCAAACGGATACACTTAATGGTGGTATGAAATTGATTTTCAATTAAGGCAATAAAATTTCGAACATGCTTTTGGACTTCCCCTTCGATTTTAATAAAACAACCCATGTAAAACGACTAAAATCCTCAACAATAGTTAGGAAATATTTATGACCATGAAAAGATGGTTTAGAAAAAGGTCCCCAAATATCCATANGACACGCTGAGCATGACGGGCTGCAATGGCCACATTGCTGAAAATGCAGAAGCCCATAGGTCCTTGTGGAACAGCATGATGTCCTGGAGGTCTTATCAGAGCAAAACCAGTGGGTGCATCACTCTTTATCTTTGAACCTGCAACCTGAATATGAAATTGAACGAGAGAAATTTCTATCCAAATCAGAAATATATACCCAGTTCTCTATACGTCTTGAAACATTTCTGTCCTGAGACTAACTATTCCAAACGCCTTAGCTGTATTAATTGGAGGACCAGGATTTTCGTATCTATGACAAACCCCTCATGCAAGAGCCAACATGCAGCATAGAAAATGTACAGTATGTGCACCCTGTGCAGAAATTGAACTTAATCATGAAGAATGACAGATAAAAATATTGATCATTTGGTCATACAGGCCTTGATACCATTTTTCTAAAAGCTTAAGCTTGAAAGTGGGGACTCAAGAATGTTTTCTCTTTTATCACTAACAACTTGAAATATATTAGACGACACACAAAATATTTCCAAAACTTGTTATATTTGCTACTCCCCATCTCCCCAAATATTTATGATACAAGATAGATATATGTGAGATCAGTCAATAGCCGGTTCCGCTAAAAGAAAGACCCAAATTTCCTACGAAGAACGAAATAGTCTTTTAGTACACAAGTCACTAGAAGAAGCAGATACGAACATCGTTCATATCTATATTCATTCACTTACCCCTCCCCAAAACACACAGATTATTACCAAGAGATGAACATGCCAGGTTGAGAGATCACCACTGAGTCCACTAAGGCTAATCCAGCACCAGCTGCAATTATTGACTCCTGAAAGGTCTGTATCATGAATACCACCATAAGAATGAGGAAACCACAATATACATCATATTTTCAATGTATTTTCAACCACAGTGAACTAATGTTTCTAGCATAGAATGACTTCCATGAAAACCTATGAGCTTGGGAAAGAATCATAAAGCTCTTGGAAGAGAAATTACAGTGGCAGTGGCATATGTTGGTCCAGAACCTTCAACGAAAATAAGGCCCTTCTCCACAGCTTGATCCATAACCTATAAGGATTGAGAAGAGTAAATATCACAAATTTCAGATAAGAAAATTCCAGTGCAATGATAAAATCAAATACAATAGAAATTATGAAAGCTACAACATGGTCAGTGTTGCTGAACACTTCAACTAAAAACTAGGATGGTGGAAATTGGACTGATCAGAATNTACTGATGAAGGAGGCTTTAGGTGTTGTTAAACTCGCATGCTGGTTCATGTCCAAGTGATAAAGGCCTTGTTTCAATTTACCCAAACCAATCATCTTCAATGACCCCATTTTCGATGTATAATAGTGGACACTAGAAAAGGTGAGAGAATATTTTTGAGAAAGAATGAGTTTAGAAATAGAGAGCAAATTAAAATTGAAATTGGGAACAAAAAGAACATTATGGATTATAAAATTTGGGGAGAATTGAACAGAGCCCGATAAATGTGCAAAGACAATAGTACCATTGGGTAAATTGATTTGGACAGGTTTAATTTTAGAATAATTAAAAAAAGAATCTAAAGAGGAGGTAATATGATCTGTTGCCCCAGAATCAATAATCCAAGGAGTGTTATTTTGTGAGTATGTGACAGGAATAATGTGTGTATTGGACAAACAATGATGAATACGTGACTGTGTAAAGGATGTGGTGCAAAAAAAAACGAAATACCAAGCTTAGGGTTAGAAACATGTAATGGACCAGTTGGTGAAGACACTTAAGTGATGTTGGCCCGAGAGTGTTGGACAGAACTTGTACCATCAGTATCAGAAGGCTGTGGCTGGAGGAGGTTGATTAAAGTTTGATATTGGGCCTGGGTTAAGTGAAATCCGGATCCATTAGAGGAGGATCCCTCAACAGAAGGGTTGTGGTTGTTGTTGATTTCTTGAGCGACATTGTTGGCAGAAGTAACACCATCACGCTGATTAAAGCGAGGACGACCCGGATATCGTGGATGACCCAGTGGGTACCCATGCTTGCCATAGAAGGTTTCAACAGTATGGCCAGTGCGATGGCAGTATACACACTTCTTGTTGGAAGCATTGCGTGTATTGTTGCTTGTAGGACCCCTAGGAGGAACTTGACCGCTGCGTCCCTTACCAGAAGAAGTGAATCTGGAGTTAATGAAGGCATTTAGTTCTTCGTCTCCATGGGAAAGCAAGTGTTGATGCTCTTGTTGCACTACCATAGAGAAAACACGGGATATTGGCGGCAAAGGGTCCATAAGAAGGATCTGGGAACGAACCACAGAAAATCGGTCCTCCAATCCTTTGAGAATACAGATAACAAAGTCTTGTTGATGATATGTCTTGGCAGAACACTGACATTCTGGAAATGGGCGATAATTATCAAGCTCCTCCCAGAGAGTTTTGAGGGATGTGTAGTATTCGGATACAGGACGAGAGCCTTGCTTTATGCCATATATTTCTTCTTTGAGCTCTGCAATACAGAGAAGATCACTCTAAGAAAAGCAATCTCTAAGATCATTCCAGATAGCAACAACACTTTCAAAATAAATGACACTTTGAGCAATAGATGGGGACATAGAGTTAAGGAGCCATGACATGATTAAAGTATTACAACGTTCCCATGAAGTGCGCAAAGGATCAGTAGCAGCAGGTCTAGCAATAACACTGGTGAGAAAACCCATCTTGTTTTTAGAGATTAGGGCCATGCGAATGGTATGGGACTAGGAATGGTAGTTTGAGCCCGGTCAGAACAGGGGTAATGGTAACAGAACTAGGCCCTTCACTAGGATGAATACCATATGGGCTAGAAGGGTTAAGACTAGGATCTGCATTACCACCATTGGAGGTGGTTTCAGATTCAGAGTGAACTTCAGACATGATGAAGAAAGGAAGGTATTAGCAAAGTTCCAAGAGATGGAGCTCTGATACCATATAAGAGAACAAAATAAATGACAGACAAAGGCTGAAGACAAAAGGATTGAGATAGTAATTTCTGCTATATTGATGAAAGCAATGCAGTATATATTTATATACAACCTATTGCCTATGAAAGGACAAAAAAGAATAACAAAAAAATATAGCAGAGGGTACAACCGTGGGTGAGGTTTGTGTAACGCCTGTACCACCTAACAAAATATAAACTTGTATCAGAAAAAAGACAAAAAACTGTACAAAATGAACTTATATATTTCTATTCAATTGGATTGGGTTTGCTGGTTTGATTGAGCTGTTGTGGAACCTTTCTTTCTTCTTCTTTTAACAACAAAAGTTATTTTTTTACTAGTTTATTATTTATTTGTTAATATATTAACGTATTTTAAACCTAATAAAAAATAATACGTGTCAAAATATTGTTAAAAAAATTGTGTTAATGTTATTTAAAAGGTATTTGCTTGTGAAATAAAGTTATATGATAAATATTAGAGTTAAATATGCTTTTAGTCCCTAAACTATTGGTCGTTTCTAGTTTTCGTCCCTCTTTCAAAGTAAGGTACAATTTGGTCCTCATTTTTTTCGAAACGTTCGTTTTAGTCCTCGGAATTTTGGTTTTAGTCCTCGGAANGGAGCGCTTTAGTGAAAATATCTGCTAATTGATGGGATGATGAAATTGGTAAGAGGTGCATGAGACCAATAAGTAATTTTTCACGAACAATGTGACAATCAATCTCTAAATGCTTCGTCCTTTCGTGAAAGACCGGATTGGCTGCAATATATAATGCACTTTGGTTGTCACAATAGAGGACAGAACGCTTAGTAATAGGAATTCTCAAATCACCAAGGAGGAAAGAAAGTCATTGAAGCTCACAAGTGGCAGAGGCAAGTGCCCTATACTATGCTTCTGCAGAAGATCGAGAAACGGTAGATTGCTTCTTGGCTTTCCAAGACACTAAAGAGTTTCCAATGAAAAAACAATAACCAGTGATAGAACATCGTGTATCAACACACGTAACCCAATCAGCATCACTAAATCCATGAAGCTGTGTTGAGGACTTGCAACTAAAAAATAAACCTTTTCCAGGGCATCCTTTTAGGTATCGAACCACTCCTAAGACAGCTTGAAGAAAGGACAAAAAAGAATAACAAAAAAATATAGCAAAGGGTACAATCGTGGGTGAGGTGTGTGTAACGCCTGTACCATTTAACAAAATATAAAGTTGTAAAAAAGACAAAAAATTGTACAAAATAAATTGATATATTTTTATTCAATTGGATTGGGTTTGCTGGTTTGATTAAAGTGTCGTGGAACCTTTCTTTCTTCTTCTTTTAACAACAAAAGTTATTTTTTTACTAATTTATTATTTATTTGTTAATATATTAACGTATTTTAAACCTAATAAAAAATAATACGTGTCAAAATATTATTACAAAAATTATGTTAATGTTATTTAAAAGGTATTTACTTGTGAAATAAGTTATATGATAAATATTATGATTTAATTTTAACTGATTTTTAAACTTTATAATTACATATGATAAAAAAGTATTTATTTTTATTTTAATTTTTCTACATTTATTGGAAACATGAAAAATTGGCAATTTAAAAAAAATGTCTCAAAATAAATTATGGTTTGTAAGTCTATTTTGTCAAAAAAAAAAGTTGGTTGGAATTTTTAATCCATTAACTTGTTTTTGTGACTCGTCTGTCTCGTCAAAGTCAAATTGACAAGTGAATCCGTTCCTAACCTACTGACTTGTTTAATTTTTTAAATTAAAAATTTAAATAAAAACAATTAAAATGAATAAATTTTTTATATTATATTTTTGTATGATGTAAATATAAAATATTATTATAATTTAAATCAATAATATTTATAGATTAAGTTTCAATGATTAGTTATAATAAAATAATTTAACATGTAAATAATTAATATAAAACTGAATTTTAAATTAACAAAATAAATGCTTCACATTTTTTGATTAGTGTTTAAGAAAAATCATAGAAATATCTTTTAATTATTTTACTATCACAACATAAAAACCTTATTACATTATCATTTCTAAATATATGCTTATTTTACTCAAATAAATTTACCTAAATACCTTGAAAGTGAAAATAAACACACCCTAGCCATCTTAATTAATCATATGGTCAGACACACACATGTTCATTATCATTTTGCTTTGGAATTGTTTATTGATAATATCATCACTTTGTTCTGGAATTGTTTGAAGGACTTGTTAATTATCTGATTATTATATATTAATATTTTTTAATGTTAAAATTGACAGCAGGTTCAGCTAACAGTGTGCTAATAAGAACAGGTTTATTACTGGATATAGCTGGTTTTGGATCTACATTTTGGATCTAAATAACCTGACACAACACCAGATTAATAAACAGGTAAGAAGGAATAATCATGATTTTAGAGGATTAGTTTGCACATTAATGGATTAATAAATGATACACTTTACCCTCCAAGAACTTCTTTAACTAATCTCTCTAAAGATAAAGAATTTCAGTGAGGAATTGGTACCCTCTATGTTTAAATTAAAGAAAATTGTAACATGAAAAGAGAAGATTAAATGGGGTTAAAAAAGTTTCAGAAGATTGATTATGAAAGCTGTATATATATTACTGTTATATTTCACTATTTTCTTAAAACTGCAGTCCTGCTAATTCACATAAACGTTAAACTTAGCAACAAAAGACAATATGCATTAATCTGCAACATTTTATTGTTCTTGGGATTTAGATCGGATCCTGTGTGGAAGGAAAATCACAGTGTGTTATATGCAGTGTCGAATCCAAAAGCACTGGTAGAAGCATAAAACTGTTCTCAGCAAAGACAAAAAGAAGAGGCCATGACATAGCATCTTCTGATCTCATGAATGAAGGCTGAGGAAAGAAGTGACATATGATCAAAATAATAACAACAATAGTTGAAATGATTGAATCCATTAGCTTATAATAAGCAAACATCCTTATTCCTTAACTAGTTCAAAGGAAAATAAATCAAAATCGAATATCATAAATGGAATGAATTGGACTTTAGTGGTGTAGATTTTGCTTGTGTGGTGAGGAGTGATGTTTCCAATAATTGAACAGTGAAAGGGAAGGGGTTCACGGGCAAGCTAAGTGTATTTTCTTATTAGACTAATTAGTTTTTTTTATTTTATTTTATCAAACTTGACTTTGTTTCTTGATGTTTCTTGATATTGATCCAAAGTAGTAAAAATGGTAGTTGTTGTAGGTGGGGCAAGTGGCAAGTGAGAGATACAGGGTGTACCCAATTGACCACAGAAAGAGTTCACGGGTCCTTCAGCTTCTTCTATGACAGTGAATTACATATTCGAATCCAGACAAACTTTCTTGAACAAATAAATAAAAAAGGGGAAAACTTCTTACAACAATCTAAAAAACTTCAAAAGAGTTTCGTGTTGGATTTCTGTTAACGTTTAGAACCTCCATAGGTGTTGTCACAATTTACATACAGACCAAATGAAGAGAAACCAGTAACAGAATAAAAATAATGTTGTCTGGTGATGAGCCAACCACACAACTTCATCTTACTCATAATTTGTTTCAAAGATTTTTCTGGTAATAGCATTCAACATTAGGTTTTCTTATGGATCTAGACATAAATATTTGCTTATTACTGATTAGGGCCAAAAAGGTTTTTTCTCTGTAATCGAATAAAAAACCTGATAATTGAATACAACAACAACATTGTAATAGATTCTAATAATATTGTAATTAATTATTAATTCTTTTATTCAAATTTCAGCACTTGTAATTAATTACATTAGTGGTGTAATCAATTATTAGTGAAGTCGGAACTCTCTTATACAACTATGACATTGTATAATCGATTACAACTACTTGTAATCAATTATCCGCAACAGAAAACGTACAGGGATATACGATTTTTTCATTTGAGTTGGTATAAGGCTTTCATGATTTGTTCATTTATTTATGTAAATAAAAAATTTTGCCTAGATTAATAATAAGCAAATCTTTTTGCTTAGATCTGTAAAAACCTCAACATTACATGACGGCAAATCTAAGGTGCAATAACAAAATTATTTATATATAGGAGATATGATCACATTACATTCAACAAATTCTTATGGTTTTTGAGTGATCACATGACTCCATCAAACTGCACATAAGGGTTGGTTGGTTGGTCTTGGAGCAATTTGATTAGAAAATGAATTTTTTTTTCTTGTTTTAATAATTAAACGGATAAGATGATCTCATGATCGTGTAGATTTCTAGAGCATACTTTTTATCAGTATGCTCAAAGATAGAATTGGAGAAAGCAGTGTTTGGCAGAAGATAATTGTATGTAGTTAGTGCTTTGCTTGAACTTCAGGACAAAGATGAAAATCTGTGAGCTTATCAAAATACACAGCTATGAAAGATTTTGATTCGTTGTGGAGCGTTATGAAATTTCAGCCACAAATTTGAAGACCCAAGGGTCCACCACTCTGGTAATTGCCAAATCTTATTGTCCTTTCATGCAAGTCCAAATGTGTACTTAAGTGTTTTTCAATAATTCCATGATTAGCCCTTCATGGTTTTTTTTCCAAAAATATCACTTCTATAACCAATCCTCCTAAAATACACGAAAATTTTCAGTACTCTGGTATACTCTCAACAGTGTTCTTAATTTTGTGTTATAGCTAATTTGATCAGTAAACACAAATATAAAGAGGAAGTGATAGAACTGATAAAAACTTGACCCTTGTTTCTACATATACATCACTGGTAAAAGGTTCCATTGTTATTATTGTATGAATTAGATTATTCGCTGCTTAAGTGGATACAAGATCAAAGTGATAAAAAATTGTTTGCAAACATCATGGTGCAGGTAAAACAGTGTAGTATTATGTAATAAACAGTGTGACAAACTGAATTGTAATAAATAAAAATATGTCAGCACGAATCTAATCCCATATCTGTATCAATTATGCACCAAAACACCAAAACCATTCACAGTTTTGATTTAGCATCCTTCATTTCACAGTTGCCATTGGCAACTGGCAACAACATCCAAGCTATGTTTGATGCATAGCTGTCCATTAAACAACGAGAAACCAAAATTATTCACGTGAATTTTTCAATGTTCCACATCCTAGACCAGAGAAAAAATGGTAGACGTTCAATTTGGTACGTTAATCAACAAAGATTATCTTTAGTTAAAGAACTTATTATCTCTGAAAAAGTATTAATTCTTACTAAAAGCATGTTATATCCACTAACATTAGTAACTGTAGAGATATACTATTATATTGTTGAGTTGTTACGTCTAAATTATTAGTTATTTTAAATTTATACGAGCATCTTGGTGTCCAAATATGTAAAATTGGTGAAGAAATAGCAAGAGGTGCACGTGAACTTTTTATACAGAGTTCGAGGAGCTGAGTGTCTTTGCAGCTAAATCCCTTACAGCCACACATTGTTTCACTGTCAGTAGCAGAGGCCAAAACCACTGATTTAAAAAAGATTATAGAACAGAGAGGAAGAGAGCAAAATGGGTTGGGGAATTAGAAGAGAGTAGAAACAACCGAGAGAAACATATAGAAAAAGGAGGCATAGCAATCTATTCAAATGAAGATGCAAGGCTGTGAGGTTGAGGCCATTGGCATAAACTACACCATCCACACACACAAATCGGAGCACCCTTTTAAAATCTTCAGCAAATCTGCACAACTTGATACTGAACAAGATGGTAAAGAGCCAGAAGGGGAAGCAGAAGCTGAACGAAGTTGCAGTGGAGTAAGGCATGTGCTGAAGAAAGTGAGTTTCCAAGCCAAACCATGGGAGATCCTAGCAATTGTTGGGCCAAGCGGAGCTGGCAAATCATCACTGCTTGAGATTCTAGCCGGCAAACATAACCCTCAAGGTGGTACTGTGTTGGTGAACCACAAGCCTGTGGACAAAGCTCAGTTCAGGAAGCTTTCAGGGTATGTGACACAAAAGGACACTTTGTTTCCTTTGCTTACAGTTGAAGAAACCCTGATGTTTAGTGCAAAGCTGAGGCTGAAGCTTTCTCAGGAGGAACTCTGCTCCAGGGTCAAGTCATTGATTAAGGAGCTTGGACTTGACCACGTTGCTGGCACTAGAATTGGCGATGATAGGGTTCGAGGCATATCTGGTGGTGAGAGGCGCAGAGTTTCCATTGGTGTTGAAGTCATACATGAACCAAAAGTGCTGATTCTTGATGAACCAACTTCAGGGCTTGACAGTACTTCAGCTTTGCAAATAATTGACATGCTTAAGGTCATGGCTGACACAAAAGGGAGAACTATAATCCTTAGTATCCATCAACCCGGGTTCAGAATAGTGAAGCTGTTCAATTCATTGTTGTTGTTGGCCAATGGAAGTGTTTTGCACCATGGAACTGCTGAGTTGCTTGGTGTAAATCTAAGGTTGATCGGTTTGGAGCTTCCTCTTCATGTCAATGTAGTTGAATTTGCCATTGAGTCCATCGATACCATTCAGCAACAACAGACATGTGTTCCAGTTCAGGTGGAAACTCCAAGGCAATTTCCAGGGACAATGCAACAGAAAAAAATCGGTGATGAAGCTGGTGAGATTAGGAACGGTAAGTTTACCTTGCAACAGCTGTTTCAGCAATCCAAGGTAATTGATGAAGAATCCATCTTCGTTGGAATGGATTTCCCTTGTGATTTTGCTAATTCTAGATTGAGAGAAACTATGATTCTCACCCATAGGTTTTCCAAGAACATATTTCGTACAAAAGAGCTATTTGCTTGTAGGACAATTCAGATGCTGGTTTCTGGGTTGGTTGTGGGATCCATCTTTTGTAACCTTAAGGATGATATAGAGGGAGCTTATGAAAGGGTGGGTCTATTTGCTTTCATATTAACGTTTTTGTTGTCAAGCAGCATAGAAGCTCTACCCATTTTTCTGCAAGAAAGGGAGATTCTAATGAAGGAAACATCTAGTGGAAGCTACCGTGTGTCATCGTATGCAATTGCCAATGGCCTAGTTTACTTGCCATTTCTTCTCATCCTAGCCATTTTGTTCTCAATGCCCTTGTACTGGATTGTTGGTCTCAACCGGAATTTCTTGGCCTTTTTGCACTTTTTGTTGCTGATATGGCTGATTCTTTACACGGCCAATTCAGTTGTGGTGTGTTTTAGTGCTCTGGTGCCTAATTTTATTGTTGGGAATTCAGTGATTGCTGGTGTTATAGGGTCATTCTTCTTGTTCTCTGGGTACTTCATATCAAAGCAAGAAATTCCAAACTACTGGATTTTCATGCATTATATATCCTTGTTTAAGTATCCCTTTGAAGGGTTCCTGATCAACGAGTTCTCCAACTCGGGAAAGTGCTTGGAGTACATGTTTGGGGCATGTCTTAAGAGCGGAGAGGATGTCCTTGAAGAAGAAGGGTACGGGGGAGAGAGTAACAGATGGAAGAATGTTGGGGTCACTGTGTGCTTCATCTTGGTTTACAGGTTCATCTCTTATGTCATTCTTAGATACAGATGTTCCCAAAGGAGATTTGGCAAGGTTATCACCAACTAAGTCTATGGTGACTCTCTCTTTCTCTCTCGTTCACGTGTCTTGGTTTTTCTTCTGATAGGAAGCGATGAAGATATTCTAAAAAAAAGCATAAAGAATTATAGGTCTGGTCAATGCCAACAAATTGTACTAACAGTATATTATGTTGGTTTTTGCTTTACATGATTACTTAATTCACAACATTGTGTTTCTCTTATCATCTAGATTCCTTCCTCGACTCATTTTAAATCATCTCAGGCTAGGCCAATGTCACTGGCTTTGTCCTGAAAAAAGAACAAACAAAGTGGGATTATTCTATACCTCGCTTAGCAGGCCAAATTTCAATTACACTATTCATTATGAATGAACTGGGTGCTTTTTTAACGCTAAATTATGGGGCATTTACAAAGCAATTGGCAAACATTACGAGAACTATCCTCTGGTCACTTGTCTCAAGATTCATTTTTATCATTATTTCTAAAAGTCACGAATGCTAATACATATGGAAGAGGCATCTATTCTGTAATGTGGCACTAATCTTTTTTCAGCTCATACTTCTGGCAATCAAGCTGGGCTATTATCATTAACAATGGACCACGTGGTTAACCAACTGAAGATTTCATTCCATGTGCTGCAGTTAGGTTGAGCACATTACACTACACCTAAAGCACAAACTTTGGGTGGACAACTTATCATGAATTTCCTGCCTATTCCCAAATTTTAAGAAAAGAAAAATATTTTTTTCACAACACAGGGTGTCCAAAAGCACTAATAAAAAATATTGTACACGTTTAAATAATTAGTATATACAAGCATGTCCACTATAATGTCAGATTAGTTTAAATTCACTCTGGCCGTCTTAAGTTTTATCATCAAGTGAAACATAACCAAACTATGTTATCTTTTCTATGCGAACTCTCAACCAAATACGTTTCTTCTTTTGAAGGTGTCTTTCAGCTTTTACCATGAAAAGTTGAAAACATACACGAACACAACACCAATCCTATTGCTTCGTCTGTTCCCTGCTCTCAGTCTCCCATCCCATCAAATTTCCCCATGTACCAAGCCAAGCAAAAACATCTGAAATTCAATGGAATGCTACTTTGTTTTGTTCGTTCTTTCACTTCCTTCCTACTAAGCAACTGGTTTGAATGGAACTCAATTATAACTCATTCCTCATTATCATGCAAGAGGGCCCCTCTTACTTTGGTCCTGCTGAGAAAAAAAGTTGAGTGTTACTATGATGAAAGCAGTACACAGTAGGACTACAACTAAGGCTAATAAGCTAGTAAGAAAACTTGCCTGCGATATGCTGGCACCTTACGATTCTTGACTTTAGTAGAACCTCCATGCCTAGTTGCTTGCTTGTCTGCATGTCACCAGGAAGGTGAAACACAAATTGTTTTCATTAATGCTTGAAGCACTAAAATCCAAGACATGGTGAATACAATCCAAAACAGTTGCAATAAAGCAACAGCGAAATATAAGCATAAGCTCCCAAACATAAGAGAACATTCAAAGAGGGAAGTGGCCTTTCTTCTCCTTGTCCCTGTGTTTTGTTTTTCTTCTTGATTCATAAGAGAATAGATCTAAGAATACTGTTACCGTTTTCCTAGCAGAAGAAATAATTAAACCAAAAGACGAAGATGATAGACGGCTATTGCTTTCTGCACCCCCCACAATTATTAACTGCACCCCCACAATTATTAACTGCACCCCTACACTACAGAAGGCAAGATAACACTTTATCAGCAAAGACCGACCCTTTACCTGGAGAGTTTTGCAATCCCTTAGTTGAAACACCATTGTCTAAGTCTCTAATCTTTTGAAACTTTTGCCTCTGTTCCAGCTGAATGCTCTCATTTCTTTCCTGATAGGTATAAAAAGAATGATCATGTTAAGCTTACAATGATAATAGGGGCCAATTTAATTTTACCAATTTACTATTAACAGCAGATGGGTGAAAGTTAAAACTTTCAACCCAGAACCTAAGAATAAGCAAAATCCCATTCAAATCAAATGTTGAGGTAGGTGAAATATAATCTTAGTTTTTAATATAAATCATTCAAGCGTAATGACATATTAAGCAAAGGAAAAACCCACGATTAGCCTATGAAAATGAAAGGAATCATATCTGTGAAGGAGGGTTGCAACCTCCTGTTAGGAGAGGGCGTATAATAGGAGAATTGGAAAGGGAGAATGGGATGAGACCCCTGTTCAGCTGAAACAGTTGTCAATAGCTGCTAACTAGTGTTAGTTAGAAGTAGACTTAGGGAGAATAAAAAGGAAGGGAAGCGCATTATAAGGCTGACTGGGCAAATGTGGAAAGTGCAGAGTTCAGGCCTCTTGAATGCCTGATAGTTCTTCTTGATACTTTCATTTGTTTTGTGAACTGATTCCTATACTTAATTTCAATAAAGACATGTTCTGTTAAACTTGTAATTCATAATATAACAATGAATTCCACACTTCGTAAGAGAACTCTATAATATTCAGCCATTATTAATGACATGCAGAAAGTTTCCAATAAAACTTCAACACCGCCACAAAGGAGGAACGCAAATCAATTCCTTTGTAATCCCGACCAAAAAATTATGATCAGAGATATCAACCAGAAAAATTATAATATATACAGAGCCTGTGCTGTAAAAGTTCAACTCAATTTGGCTATCGAACCTTTTCAGCTGCTAACATGTTTGTCCGGGCAGAGTGCTCTTGCTCTGAAAGAACAACAAAAGTAACAATGAACTCCAGAACATAGGCTATATAGGTCTAGGTCTAAGTTTATATATATCTTCCCCACATCTTTGGAAGGAAAATCTAGAAATGAGTTACAATGAATCAAAGACATGAACAAATTATCAATATCAGAGAAGAAACATAGACCTACCAACTTATCATCAAGAGCACAGGCGATGGCAAGCATTTTTCATATTTTCTAAATTGGCCATTCATGAAAGCCAAAGCTACTCATATTTCCAATTACCACTAAATAGTCCAAACTTTTTTTACCAAAGAATAAAAGGAATGAACTACAATTATTCGTCCAGTCATAAAGAATGAATTTCAGAATGACAACTATGCAACTAAATTTCACNAGTATAGAAAATATAATTATTTTTCTTTAACTTCAAATTATTGTTATTAAGTTTTTATTATAATATTTATTTTCTATCGCGTTAAATATTACTTTTTTAGAAAATAGGTGTAATATGGAAAAATAATATATCAAAATATAAAATACACATAAAAAATTATATCTTTTTATAAAGAAAAATAGTTGAACAAAATAATTTTATCTTGTGTGTATAAAAATGAAAAGAAATATATAATAAATATATAACGATGCAATAGAAATGTGGAGATTAAGGTGTCAGTACCCATGTAGTCTTTTATATTAGAATTAGGGGATTACTTTCCAACGTCGTAGTTTATCATAAAAATATATTATTTTAGACAACGTTATAATTAACTAATATCTATGGAAGTAAAATGTGTCAAAGCATGTATAAATTTGTATAATAGGAAATAAGAAGTAAGTCTTGAATGTCTTTAAATATGTTCAATATCACACACACCATGGTTGTAAAACGCTCTTTTTTCCAAAAAAAAAATGTTTATGTGGACATGATTATTAAACTTTCAAGTTAACTCGAGTTTACGTTCATGACTTCCGAGTTAACTCGAAAGTAAATTTGTCTTCTACGTAAATTGGGTAAAATCAAGAGTAAAATTGATAAGATTGTGTAAAATTGTGAGTTTGAAACGATTCGAAAGTAAACTTGTGTTTTACATAAACTCAATAAAATCAACAGTAAAATTAATAAGATTTAAAATTAATAAGATTGTGTAAAATCGTGAGTTTGAAACGATTATGCAAACTTAAAAATCATATATTTAATGAAATATATCAAAATTAATGACAATAATTCAAATATTTATTTCTATGAATAATAATATAATTATAAATTTTATTTATTTAAAATTATATAATTTTGTAGACTTATTTGAACTAAAATATTATTTATATAATTTTTTTTATCCAAAAAAACTCGAATCTCACGAGTTTATCTCGAATTTGATAACTTTGTATGTGGATCCTACGGTAAAAGCTTCCTCTTCCATTGCTTTCTCTCTACAGCCGTCCCTAAAATCACAAGATCATTATACTTCAATCATTTTCACTAAATGGGAGATCAAGATAAGCGTAAACACTTTTCAACAGCAACTTAACATCCGNGAAGTCCATTCCACTTTGGGTTTGCTAAAGATAGGATCAAAGCCTTCAAACGCCATCCCAAGTCAAGATTATGCTCCAAAGGTGACAAAGCTACAAACTTGAGGATCCAGCTTCACACACAAGCAATAATTGGAGTTGTTTATCATATAATTAGAAGAAAAAATCTAGGGTTTCTCACCTGTTTAAAAACGAAAGAGTGATGTTAAAAGTATAACATCAATAGTTACAGAAAAGAACTATAGGATTGGACGAAGGTGTGTCATTTAAACGAACAGGGAGAGAGGGAAAGAGCAGAACGAGAAATGATTGATAAGAACCAAATTTGGAGAAGAAAGCACGAAAAAAGAAAAAAGAAGGAAAAGGTTTTGTTTCACATTTGCATTTTAAACATTCGAACTTTTATAATCTATAACAGTACAGTACTCCTGGATGTCTTATTTAGTTTGTTTTATTGCTTTCTCTTCAATATATATTTATATTTCAATATTAATGAAAATACATATGTTTGAAATAAATATCTATATTTTTATTGTATTTTTGCATTATTGTATTGAAGTGATAGAAATAAATTAGTTTCGTACTTAAAGTATAGAAAATATAATTATTTTTCTTTAACTTCAAATTATTGTTATTAAGTTTTTATTACAATATTTATTTTCTGTCGCGTTAAATATTACTTTTTTAGATAATAGGTGTAATATGGAAAAATAATATATCAAAATATAAAATACACATAAAAAAATTATATCTTTTTATAAAGAAAAACAGTTGAACAAAATAATTTTATCTTGTGTGTATAAAAATGAAAAGAAATATTTTATTATTTTCATATAATAAATATATAACGATGCAATAGAAATGTGGAGATTAAGGTGTCAGTACCCATGTAGTCTCTTATATTAGAGTTAGGGGATTACTTTCCAACGTTGTAGTTTATCATAAAAATATATTATTGTGAAACGCTCTTTATTTGAAAAAAAAAACTGTTTCCGTGTACATTATTATCAAACTTTCAAGTGAACATGATTATCAAACTTTCAACTTAACTCAAGTTTACGTTAACTCGAGTTTACATTTATGGTTTCCGAGTTAACTCGAGAGTAAACTTGTGTTCTGCACAAACTCGGTAAAATCAACAATAAAATTGATAAGATCGTGTAAAATCGTGAGTTTGAAACAATTTGAAAATAAACTTGTGTTCTGCATAAATTCGATAAAATCAACCGTGAAATTGATAAGATTGTATAAAATCGTGAGTTTGAAACGATTCTACAAGTTTGAAAGTTATATATTTAATAAAATACATCAAAATAATGAAAATAATTCAAATATTTATTTTTATGAACAATATAATTATAAATTTTATTTATTTAAAGTTATATAATTTTGAAGACTTATGGCATTATTTATATAATTTTTTTTTATAACTCGAATCTCACGAGTTTATCTCAAATTTGATATCCTTGTATGTGGATACTATGGTAAAAGCTTCCTCTTCCATTGTGTCCCTAAAATCACAAGATCATTATACTTCAATCATTTTCACTAAATGGGAGATCAAGATAAGCGTAAACACTTTTCAACAGCAACTTAACATCCGCAAAATTGTTGCCAAATGTTGTAACATTTATGTTTGGAAATTTATTAGGCTCCAAAGTAAACCAAGAGTTCAAATCCCATCCTGAGAGGAACTTTATATTAAAGTATTAAAATTACAACGTTAAATAAACTCAACTAAAAAAATTAGCTGAAGGTGACTCCGTTGCCGCTTATAATTTCACCAATGCGGTAGAATTTGTCTGTTTGGCCTCTGTTCTCGAGTATTCTGTTAGCTGCCTCTGGACTAACCACCAGGATCATCCCTATGCCCATATTGAAAGTCCGTCTCATCTCGGAGTCTTCTATCTTCCCAGCCTAATGTGAGAAGTTATCAATCAATTTAGTTTTTATATTATTTCTTTTCCGCTATGGTATATTTATTCAAGGAGCGTTACAGAAAGATGTGTTACCTCCTGAAGCCACTTAAACACTGCAGGCACTTCCCACGAGCCGTCGTATATTAATGCTCCGAGGCCTTCCGGAAAAACTCGGGGTATGTTATCTGTGAAACCGCCACCAGTGATGTGGGCAATTCCCTTCACCCCTCCCTTGCTAATTAAATCCAGTACCTATTTTGAAAAGTGAGAGTAAGTCAAGGGAAAAATTTATATAAGAAAAAAATGGTATTTAAAAGTTTGTCACGCAGAATGTAGAATTACCTGTTTGACATAGATCACAGTTGGGGCCATCAAAGCCTCTGCAATTGTAATATTGCTACCAGGAAGCTGATCTTTCAGTGAAAGACCACTTTGAGCAAGTACTCTGTTAGGATATATTATTAAATTTCAGCAACTGATAATCCATAATAAATAAAATCTAATCGATTCTATACTTGACCAACCTTCTTACAAGTGAGAAACCATTAGAGTGAACTCCACTCGATGGTAGACCAATAATAACGTCACCGGCAACTATATTTTTCCTATTAATTACAGAATCTTTCTTCACAATTCCAACTGCACAGCCACTAAGATCATACTCACCTTCTTTATAGAGACCAGGCATCTCTGCAGTCTGAAAAGCAAATAAAACCAAATAGAAATATAAAAAACCATACTCTCTTTTATCACACTTATTACAGAAGAGATATTGGCAACAATATATTCAAGTACTTAATCATCTTGGCAACAATGTAAGATCAGAAAAATCCTCGACAATCAAGTTCCAAGAATCCATGTAACATTTGAACCAGTAAACGGTGACTAGCGTTTGTTCTATTACTCTTCTCACAATGTCAAGCCACACAACATAATAACTGCCCCTTCAACTTTTTTCTCTCACAAGCAGTTGTTCAAAACTTATCTGTTCTAGTAAATATCCAATCATTCATCTAAGTACACTCAACTCAATATCTGAGACTCGCAATAAGTTTAAAACAAAAAAGATTTAATTTTAGCAGTGAATTATCCAGTTACTTCAGTGTCAAAAGTGAATGCATGACAACATGACATGGCAAGACCGATGCCACCCAATTATATACAGTGAAAAAACATGCAGCAAGACTTGTCAATTACCTCTCCTCCTAAAAGAACGCAATCAGATTGCTTACAACCATCAACAATGCCTTTTACAACCTGAAGAAAATGAAGTTATATGAGAATAGAAACACGAATAAGCTTTCACAACTCGCTCAAAGTTTAATAGAAGGCGCAGAATTTACCTTTTCCGCCACGTCCACGTCAAGGCGGCCAGTTGCAAAGTAATCAAGGAAAAACAAAGGCTTCGCCCCCGAAGTCACAATGTCATTCACACTCATCGCAACCTAAACAGAATAAACAACGCTCAAACCTCCAAAACCATACACAAAATACAAAAAAAAATTAAAAAAAAATCACTTTGCAAAAAAATTTACCAGATCAATCCCAATAGTATCGTGAATTCCAGTTTCGAACGCAAGCATCAGCTTCGTTCCCACGCCGTCGGTTCCGGCAACGAGGTACGAATCACCTACCCAGAGAACAGGTTCGATTAAAATTCAATTACAAGGAACGAAAAACAAAAGAGTAAAAAAAGAGATTCAAACGATACCGAGAGGGTATAAACCGCCGAAGCCTCCAATCCCTGGCGCCATCTTCGCTATCCTGCGCACGAGTTCGGCACCGGCATCGATGTCCACGCCGGCGTCCCTATAAGTAAGACCTTGACTAGCTTCCACGACTATTCTGCTGGTCTTCCTCGACCGAGAAACTGACAAAACGGCACCGTCACGACCTATTGGACTGTTTATAACGAGGCTTGTTGCGGCTGTGGGGTTGGACTTGCCGGAATTAGGTTTCGCGGATGCTGCGGCGGCGAAACAACGTGATAGCTCTGCGCATGCTGAAAGACTCATTGTTGAGATCGGTAGAAGAATTATAGAAACAAAGAGCGAGTGAGATAAGCAGAAGCGGTGGCAGAGATGGACGGAGCTGCGGTGGCAGAGATGGACGGAACTGCGGCGGAGACGCGGTGGAGACGCGGTGGAGATGCGGTGGCGAGAGAGGCCCGGTAAAAGCGCGCCCTAATGTATGGGTTTATAGTGGGGAAGAGATTTTTGTCGTGGGTGTGTGCCTAATAGAATAATTGAAACAACGTCGTTTTGGTTGATGAAAGGATAAGCTCGTATTAGATTAAGATAATGTAAAATTAAAATAATGAAGTGACAATGTAGTTTGATAGATAACTTTTATCTTTGCATTGGATGATCGTAAACTTCAAAGTATGGCTATGTCATGATGACTAGGTTATCTCAAAATTTTTAAATATGCAAATGATTGAATTCTTTTTTCTAGAGATCGAATTAAATCAAACCTAAAAAAGTTTTAAAAATATATTTATTTATTTTGTAGAAAACCTCTTTATATCTCCAATATATTTAAAATATGTAAGAAAACTTTATATCAAAAGATGTATAAATTTCACACGTGAGGATGTCAATATATAAATTATATTATTTGTTGCTACAAGTGTAATTTACCATGTTAAAGAATATACAGTGTATTAAAGGGAAATTTTAACCATGTTTCTAAAATTCAAAATATAATTTAATTTAATTCTTACATTAAAAGTTTAAAAAATAATATAATAATTTTTTATGATAAATATTTTAACTATAATAGGGTGTTCTTACTAAGTTTAGACATAATGTTTTTTAGGTATTGAGTTGATAATTCTTGTGAAAGGGGTAGACGAAAATAAGTACAAGAAAATAAAAGTATAAGGTAAGAGTCTCAATTGAACTAATACTTTTGTGTGACCTAGATTTATATTTATAAGTTTTTTGTATCCTTCAATAAAGGTTAAAAAGAAAATGAATATAAATTAGCTATTGAGTACCCTATTAATAAAATTTGTGTATTTTTAAGTTTCTACATAAAGAGAGACATGTGATTTAGATTAATTTAGATAAAATATTACCAACATTTAATAATTTAAAATCAAATCTATCAATTTTTCATAGTTTATATCTGGTTGAATTTCATTTTTGAAAAAATAAGAATGATTAAAAACAATTTGTATGCTTGATAGAAAAAATTTCGCTAAATTTTACATTGCTTTAAAAATAAAAATACTCATATTAAAGTCTCTTAACTTCAAAAATGATTTTAGTGAAAGCTTATTTAAACTTATAGTTTTACTTGTTTCTTTAATTTCTTGTATATTACCTCTCCAATAAAATATAATTTCACAATCTTTTTTATCAACAAAAAATAATTAAATAAATAATGCAAGCATTTATGATGTCTTGACCCTTATACAAACTTATAAAATAAGTCTAATCGAGTACTTTCAAAATTATACTTCTAAATACAATGCAATGCTTATAATATAAATT